CATCTGCCTGACATGCCCTCCCTGCCTGCAGGCTGCTTGTCCAAGCCCATCACCGCCAGCACCGTCTCCGACCCCTTCTTACTCATCAGCTACGACACCGCTAAGCAGTTCGACCTGTGCCTGAGCAATGAGGTTTTAAAAGCAAACCTGAAGCCTCTGCTGGAACAGCCGCTCACCGTGGAGTACCTCCGGGTCATGAAAAAAAAGCTGGAGCAGGTGATGGGTGACACAGGGCAGGACCCCCCCGTGCAGCCCCCTGTTAGCGTGGGCACGCTCCAGGATAGGCGAGACCCGCTGCAGGAATGGGCATCACCGGCCACGGGGATGAAGGCACCTGAGCGGGTCCTTTGCACCCATTTCTGCCTTATTTTCCCTTCCCTGACCCTCTTTTCTCCCCCACTGACCTGGCCCTACAGATTTACCCTTCGGAGATCCCGGAGGAGCAGCTGAAGCTGTTGGGGCCACTGTCCCGCCAGTACACGGTGGAGGAGATCAGCCGGTGGCCGGTGACATCCATCAGCACGCTCTCAGCCCTGCTCAACCCCTCGGATGGCAAGTGGGAGACTCCCCAGGTAAACCCGCGGCAGCAGCGGGGGACGGGTGCTGGTGAACCCAAGCTGGGACCGCTCGGTACCCAAGCCGAGCTCGGGGCGAAGGTATTGCCCGAGGGTGGCACAGTGGTTTTACAGTATATGCATTTCTACCGGGAGCATCTTCCTTCCCTGCCTGCATGCAACTGCATGAACTCTGTTTCCCAGATCCAGCAGCTGCTCAGCAGGTACCTGGCCCTGGGGGGCACCTTGACTGGGCCCTTGCTTCAGAAAATCGGTGTGAGAAACCTGTGCAATCTGCAGGAGGAGCAGATCAATCAAATACCTCCAGCGGTAATCAGGTACGCCACTTTTTAGGGATGCTTTTCAGTCCTATGAGGCCCCTGGGATCACAGGGGAAGCAGATGGTGGGATGGCAGACTCCCACCTCCCTTTCGGCTCTGCCCGCTCGCAGGCAGCACGGTGGGATGGCCACGTTCCGCTCCCAGCTCCTGCCTGAGCCACCGGCACCGTGGGCAGGGACAGACCGCTCATCTCCCCCTGCCAACAAAAGGGCTTTAGCTGTGGTTTGGGGTGGTGCCCCCGGCTCTAACCTGTGACCCTCCGTCTCCTCAGGACTGCTGGACAATTAAACATTTCTTCTTGCTCTCAAACCAAGAAGGACCAACTCTACAGAAAAGCCCAGGAGGCCTTTGCTGGCCAGGCTGGCACCACCAAGTCATATTATTGCCAGATTTGGCCGTACCTGGGTAGGTGTTTCATCCTTTGCCCTCCTTCTCATGGCGATGGAGGTTGGGTATCTCTTCCTTGGCCAGGGAGGTTTAGACACACTAGAGACACATCTAGCGGTCTCCAGAACCCCTCCAAAAATGTTGGAAGTGTTTGCACGTGTCTAGGTGTCCCATACACTTTCTTTAAGGGGGAGCTCCAGCGAAGGACCTGAAAGACTTGGCTGAAGCTGGCGTTGCCATAGACATGGACATAGACACCTTTCTTTCCCTAAATCCCAACGAACTGCAGGTACGTCCCTGGTATGCTGCTGCTCTTTTCCTCGCTGAAGGGCAGGGCTAGTCGAGGGCTGAGTGGTGGGGTTTGGGGCTGCAGCCCCATCAGATCACCAATTCTCTATTTTTTTACCTTTTTAAATTTTCTTTTGGAAGTTATTTCTGCAGTCCCATTAGAAAAGCACTTCGTGGTGATGCGGGCTGCAAGGATGAACAAAGATGTTGTTGTACGTGTGTTGCAGAAACTTAGTGTTGTGGATGTGAAAAATCTGCTTGGAGTAAACCTCCCTTACCTGAAGGAAGCTGAAAATGAGACCTCGGTGATGCGCTGGGTGAAGAAACAGTCCCAGCGGGAACTGGACTGTACCCTGGGAATCGGCCTGCAAGGGGGCACGGAGGAGCCCGGACCCACGGGGACAGCCACCCCTCCTCACCCCACCGCCTCGGCCACTATCACCCCCGCAGTCACCGTCCCCGCACCCACCACCCTCCCCACTGTCCCCCCCCCTATTGCCATTAGCAGCCACCCTACCGCTAATTCAAGTACCGGCCCCCCCAAAGCCCCCACCCCAAGCACTATCAGCCCGACCCCCCCTAACAGCACTCCCCCACATGCTCACACCACTGCCCCCAGTGCTGTGAGTCCCGCTGCCACCTCCACCGCCCGACCTGCTCCGACCACCGGCTCCATCGTCCCGTGCTCCATCCACCAGTCCCCCACCTCAAATAAGGCCACACCCCCCGCCATCACCCTCCTCACCACCATCCTTGCTGCTGTCAACCCCAACGCCACCTCTCCCAGCTCCGTCCCACCCCCTGCTCTCACACGCGGGGCCACCAGCACCACCACCAGCGTTGTTACTAACCCAGCTATTAACACCAGCACCCCACTGGTGTCCGTGAACCCCCCAGCACCTGGGGCTACTGCCCACCCCGCTCCAGAAACGAACCTCCCTCCCAAGCCCACCCCGATTCCCAACTCCACCGTCTCCACCCAAAAGAGTGTCATCTCCCCGACAGCCAAGTCGACAACGCTGGCTTGCAAGACCAGTGCCCACCCGGCATTTCCCGGCCCCTCTTCCACCACCACCAGCAGCGAGACCACTAAAGAAACACCCACAGGCGTGCCAGAGCCACCGAGACCAACACCCGGCGGATACATCAACCTGCAACCCGAAGCTGGTAAGGTGTGAACGTTCGGAGTCGGGAAAAGCTTAGGAACCGATGGTGAGGCAGAAGTCTTCACCAACAAGCAGTAGCTGATCCACCTTGTTCCTGGCCAGATTCAATACTGACATGCTGCTGTCCACAAGGAACCCCAGCAGTTACGGGCTGGACAGGTAGCGATGTGTCTCTACGGGGCATTACAGCCCTGGATCTGGAGCACAGTGCCTTCAGATTCCACGTGTTCACATCTGGCAAGGTGCACCTTAAGATGCATCATCGCCTTCTGAGCACGCAGCATCCCTCAGCCGCTCTGCAGAAAGCTGGAGTAATTCCATTAATGCCAACGCACCGTACGATTTTTCACAAGGCAAGGATACGGCCATCCAGATTTTAGCTGCATGTAGTATTTATGGCTAGGCGTTGCTGTAAAAGCACTAAAATCTTTAGTCGTTTAACCTGGCAGAGCTACATCCGTAGCTTTAATGACTCAAACAGATTTACTCCTGCTTTGCGCTGGTGAAAGTAAGAAAAGACTCAGTCCTGCCAACTATTCACGGCCAGGTGACATTTCTAACTGGGGAGCAGGTCAGGGCCTGAGGTGCAGGTATGGGCAATGTCACAAAAGGCAGAAGTGTTGTCACGACACGTGTGACCCTCCGGGGTACCCAAGTCTCAAAGCAACGCTACCGCCCTCACAGCTCAGGCATGCTGTTTACCTGGATAATCCAATTCTTTCTCATCTGTCTTCTCCACCTAGGATCGGGGTCCAGACTCTCCTCCTGCCTCGTGCACATACTGACTACAGCTGTGGGAAGCTCACTGCTGCGAGCGCTTCTCTGACACTGCCACCTCCAGCACCACACTCACCAGATCCCTCCTGTAGTTTTCACCATCCTGCAAAATAACGGTGCTGGCAAATTCCCTGCTGAAAAGCAGAAACCCAGGGGAAGAACAGAGATTGTCCATTTGATACCAGCATAGAATTTGGTTATTATTTTTGAAGCTGGGCAGTGAAAGGAGGACAGGTATTTTTCCAGCCCAAAGCAGCCCAACAGGTACTTACTAGCTAGTTGCTCTATGTAATATAATTACCAGCAATATTGACTAGTCTGACAATGCATTAATGCTGACAGTGGGCCCAGTTCTGCCAGCTTTACTCACACTGAGTGGTATTTTACCTCTAAGCAATCCCACTGGGGTCTGTTGAAACAGTGGGACAACTCAGGGATCTGAGTTACTGGCTGTTGCAAAAGAAGCAGAATATGGCCCAGCAACGCAGTCTGAAAGCTCAGAGATCCACTAAATTGTATTTAACTTGTTTCACAAACTTAGATTTTTGATCAAGATCTGTTCAAACCATGCAAAGCCTAGTTAGAGGGATGACTGATGATAGTTTATCTTGATTACTGTTGCAATGCTATATAATAAAACATCAATCAACTTTTTTTTTTCCTAATCAAATGTGTTCTTTGATGTGCTCAGTGCTTTTTAGTGTAGTTTTTCTAGCTAGCTTAAATCTAAAGTTTCCACTTCTTTTGCTCTTTCTTCATTATCTCATGTCTCCTCCTCCAATAGCTCAACTACCAGAGAGCGTTTCTCCCTCCAACTTGCAGAACTTCCATTTCCTAGTTTCATTCTCCACAGGCTGAGGAGATTCTTACACATCATTTGTTGAGAGTGAGTCAAGGCACAAAGAAGCAAATCAAGATTTCTGTCAGGGGATCAATGTGGTTGAAAAAGTAGACTGTCTTAATTGGGCTCTCTCCCACCCTAGCTAGTGCCCCAGCACCACGGGAAGCAGACAGTGGGGAAGTGGCTCTTGCTACCCAGAAGTCTGCAGCAAAGGACAGACCAGGCTCTCCTGTTCTCTTCCTGTAAAGCACCGACAATGAACATTTATAATGTCTTTGCAGGCAGGCTGTCCTCCTGGGGGAAAAGGGGGATTTCAGGGGCTGGATACAGGTTGCACTGAGGTTTTTTTGGACAAAAATTCCCAAATGAGTGGAAAAAAAAATTGTTGAAAATCTTATACAAAGTTCTTATACCCTCCCCATGAGGAAGCTGAGAACAACTTCAGCTCTTTCGTGTTGAGCAGTCAACACCAAAGAAAAGTGACAGGCATGTCTGGGGTTTTTGACCATCTAATTTGGACTGATACCTGCAGATACGAAGGCGCAGGCAGTCTGAATGAAGAGAAGACAAGAGCAACTCATCAATTCGCTTCTTTTTACTTAGTTCCATTGTTTATATACAATCAGCCAGAAAACTTCACTCCCACTCAGAGGTCTTGGCAGTGTCAAGAGATCAGGCTCTTTGAGAAATGTAATCATTAACATGCAGAACAGCCAGTTTGCGCACCCTTAAACCCACCAGGGTTGCGCAGTAAAATATTGACATCATTTGTGTTGCAGTAATATGGCTGGGGCTCACCCAGGCTTAGTCTGTACAAAAGGCAAAGATCCTGCTCTGAAGAGTCTGAAATCTTCCCTTCAGACAGAGCTCTGGGTTTTTTTCGAGTGATTTGAAAGACAAAAGTACCTAAAAGTGAACCCTGGGCTGCGTAACAGTTGCCTGCTAGCAGTGAGCACCCCCTCACCCCCCAGGCGTGGCTGTCCCTGACAGGCCTTAGGGCAGGTCACAGGCTGGTCCCCCTCATCTTGCTTTTTCTTGAGAGAAGATTTTCAAGACAAGACTGACGTCATCAGGAAACTGATAAGCAGAGCAGGCAGGAGGTGGAGTGTCATGGCCACAGCACTCGCAGAGGCTGCGGATGGTGCTAGAGGAAAAAGAGCAGACATTAGTGCAAAGAAATCAATGATTGAACTGTTGCCCCATGGGGGTGAACATCTCTTTATGCCACATCCAGGGAAGATCTTCAGCTTTCTAACAAGGGCTTTCTAACTATGGTAAACAGCCACTCCTAATAGCACCACCAAGTCATAACTCAAATCCACCACACAGCAGAGGAGGAAGCTCTGGAAGTGCTCACTCCGTTAAGACAGTCAGGCAGTGAGGATGCTCTCAGTGGGATTACAGGACTGCTTCTTGTATCGGACCCAGAATTTGCTCTGCAAGGCTTAAGGCTCCTCAGCAGAAATGAATGTGCTGCCCCTCAACGCCAGGAGGCGAAGGAAGGAGGTGAGCACTGCCCAGTGCACTTTAACAGGGCTGGGTGGATGAGTAGTGACATGTGCCACTGGAAAGGGTCCACAGTAGCCCAGATCAACAGTCTGCTCTCTCAGCACAAGAGCAGCCAGCGGGACTTTCCAGGGCCTTGGCACAAGCACTGCTGAGAGCAGGAGCAGAGCCGTTTGGCAGCGCTGCCCAAGGCCACCACTTACCTGAGCTTGGTGCACTCACTTCTCTTTTACAGACAACTGAAGCACTTTGCTTCCACAAGGCAGTTTTTCTCCTTGCTGTAACCCAAAAATAAGTATTTAAAACACAACAATTTGAGGTCCTAACATAATACATACACTGAAATTTGGGTGTGACGATGTTCATGTAGCCTTCTTGTAGCCCCCCAGTGAGCCCAACATGCAGTTTATCCAGTTCTGATTGTTTCTGTGTTTGAACCCACTCCCGGATGGGAGACTTGTTCTGCCATTTCTGTAGATCACGGAGATTAATCCCCAGCAAGCCTTGAACCTCAGAAGGTGTCAGGCTCTAGGAGAAATCAAACAGCAAGAATTACAGATGTAAATGCAGCAATGGAAATAGTACCTCTGACCAAGGAAACAATGAGGTTTCTATTAGCAGAAGTGTGAACAACAAGGAAGACAAATGTCTGGTGAGTGGTTTCAATTGGGACAATCTTCCTGATGACAATGGTTCCTCAAAGACTGTTTCTGTTGTCCTCTGATGATGAGTCTCCTACACTCAGGCGGGCACCCCAGTCCCTGCCCAAATCACTGGGCTTTCTTCCAAAATTGATATTACTGCTAACACTCTTGTTAGAAGATTTGTCACACAGCTGTGGACTGTAGTCTAGTGGACACCTGTCCCCTGCTCCTGCCACTACTGCTATGAGAGCTTGCTCTAAAGAAATTCCCCAGTAAGACTGGCTTAGCATCCATGTATGATTCCAAATTACATTTTTAAAGAAATTTCAGGCCGCTTGTCCACTTTCTACTGGTCTAGCATCATTCTGAATTTGATGGAGTGACTCCTGATTTACACCAATGGACAATGTGACCAAAACCAACTACTTAGCATAATATGAATGCAAGGAGTCAAACAATTTCAAGATTCAGCTCACCAGCAAAGAGTCTCTTCTTAACTTCGAAAAAGTACTAATGTTCATGCTCACATTGCCCTTGCTTAGAGCTCTGAGATCCACAGCAGGAGCACCCCCTGGGACCAAAAAGAGAAAGTATATCAAAGCATGAAGGACAGCCCTCAAATGAGCAGTGTTGTGTATCTGTATAAGCTAGAGCTATAATGATGTCTCCAAAATTTATTAGGCAGGAGCTGCTAACGCAGTGAGTTCCAACTGCAAAATATATGGATGCTACTTCACTTTGCTGGGAGGTATTATTGCGTTAGCTATTAAACCAATCTGTGACAATGCCAGGTGCTAGACAGAGCGGTAAGAAGAGTTTGCTCAGGCTGTGAATAAATTCTTGGCTTAACAGGGAAAAATCTGTTTTGTGACATAGAGAAGGGCTGTGAGATAAGCATTAAGCACAGCAGCTTGATTTCTCATGGATCTAGCAGATCTTAACCATCCTAGAAGTTAGGAGTTTGATTTTCCCTGTGATAGTCTGACAATTGATTTGGACAACTTTAAATCAGGTACAGAATCTTTCAAGGATATTTTATGCCATCTACAAGTTGAAAAAGACTGAACTTTTAACAACTTGGCTCCGAAAATTCCCAAATCTTAGATAGTATTTGATACCCATTCAGCTTCTGGCTAAGACCTCTCTACTTCCCCATAACAAACTGGTTTTTTACATACCTAGATATGGTTCAACAAGTTTATAGTAAGCAGGTAAATACTTCTGGTCTGAGAAAGCCTGTTTTGCTTTAGCATATAAGATGTTTTTCGTAAGCTGTGTACAGTTTGAAGGATTCAGAGATGCCAGTCTGCAGAAAAATGAAGATTTAGGGAGAAAAAAGTTTTTATTATCTTCAACCTGTATAGATTTTGAACTATTCTGAGTATCTCCCTGGGATTCTCTAAATAGGACAGGTGACCCCCTTTTCCCAGTAGATAGAAGAGGTATGGAGAGAAGCTAAAAGAAAAAAATAACGGCTCAGCCTTCTGCTCAAAATGCCGTGTCTTCCAAGTTATGATGGCTCTGATGGTGCATGGTAAGTTTAAGGGTTTGCAAAGATGTAGTTAATTAATTTCATTTAGTAGTCTTCCAAAGGAATTTAAGTTAAATTTAATTAACTCTCTTTTGCCTCTAGATAAAAGCATGCATGCAGACCATATCTGTTGTCAGCTGAGCTGCAATAAAGAGAGTCTGATTGCAAATCCAAGCCCTTCCTGGCAGGATGGAGAACAGGAGGCTTTTAAACCTAGACACAGAGGAGGTACTAACTTGCTTCCTAGATTTCCTCTCACCGAGTGGAGAGAAAAGGAAAATGCACTTGCTGATGGGAAAGTGCTTTTGCAAGAAGCCAAGAGCATCACAACATTTGACTCACTTCAAGCTGTTGGAGTCTATTATATTCAACTCAGTTGCATTTAGAAGGCACACATATCTCGTACCAATTGCATTCAGTGCAGTGGCATTCAAGGCATTTCCCAAGTCAACATATCGTTTAATCACTGCAGAAGCCTAGAAACACATTTAATTTTTTCAAAAGTTAGCTTGAATCAGAATTTATGTTTTCATCCTCAAAAGAACAAGAAATGCAATAATTACAAAAATAAAATTGAATCATTTCAAATCTATTTGTTTGGACCTCAAGGATGGCCCAATAATCTCTGAACCCACTAAGCTAAACCAGCAGCTCTCAAACCAGGAAACAAACATGGGCAGAAAAGCAAACCCAAATCCCTACCTGATCATCAGAGGGCTGATCTTTTAGCAAGACAGCCAGTGTGTCACTTGAAGTTATCTGCCATTTGGAAACATCCTCAGGGGTGACCAGAGAAATGAGGGGGCCCAGTTTGCGGAGCAGACTGTCAGGATAGCCATCAGGATATGTCTGTGGAAAGACCATTGTTATTGCTATGAACGCTCATTATCATGCCTGCGCTTATGAATTTATGCTCTTTGCACAATTAACGTGGAAAAGCCCAGAAGGTCTGCAAAGAATAAGAAACCAAAGCCAGTGAGATTCCGTGAGCACATCTGTCCTTATTCTGCTTGATAGCTCAGGCAAGCAGGGCCCAGGGGAAGGAACAAAACCTGAAGCACTGTGAACTGACTCAACACAGACCTGAGTGGTCAGTATGCCTTGCTGTGGTGAAGGCTAATCAAATACCGGGCTTCCCTAACAGCAGCATGGCCAGTAGGCCAAGGGAAGCGATTATTCCCTTCCATCTGGCTGGCACTTGCGAGACCCCATCTGGGTACTACGTCCAGTTTTGGGCTCCCTGGTACATGAAAGACTTTTGTCGAAGTCTAGCAAAGACTAGCAAGTCCAGCAGAGGACCACGCTGGTCGGGGAGGGCAGAAGAATGCAACATACCAAGTGGGGCAATGGGACTGAGGGAGCTGGGTTTTTTAGTCTGAAGATGAGAAGACCAGGTGAGGATTTTATTACTGTCTTCAACTATCTAATGGGAGATTATGGGGAGGATGGAGCCACACTCTTCTCAGAGTTGCACAGTGAAAGGATAAGGGCCAAAAGGCAATGAAAATTCTGATTAGATATTAAGAAATATGTACTTTCACAGTAAAGGTGGTCAAACATTGGAAGAAGAGCCCAGAGAGATGGTGGAGTCTCAGTCTTTGGAGATACTTAACTGGACAAGTCCCTGATAAATCTCATCAGTAAATAATTTAACATTCTTCGGCCTGGCATTACCTCATCCAGATTTCTCTTCAGCTCAGCTAATTGCTGAACACTGAAGGCATAGGTCAGCACCCGAGAGAGGTGATTCTCCAGAGAGACATTCTTCAGGCAAGCACGTAACTCCTCAGGTGTGTAGTAAATAGGCATCAAGTCATTGTTAAGAACCATCTCTGTTATCTGCTTGTCAGGTGGGCAACCTGTTGAAGCAATTATCAAATGTGCTCAGTGTTAAATCCTTTTGCTTCAAGCTTTGAATGCTCCCTTGCTGGAGATGGACAGGTATGCAATCATGGTACCACCCTCCTCCTGGGTGACCTGCCACCAAGTGTTTCATAGTTCAACTCAGACACATTTAGGGAGACCCACAAGCACTAGGGTCAACCCTGATACCAGGGGGAATGCTGCCGTTATGGATCAGGGAAGGCTTCCATACCATCAGCACGCTTATGCCTAGTAGGTAGGAGTTCTTCAACAATGGTGGCCAGCTGTTCCCTTGACAGAGGTGAATTGTGTGCATAGTTTTTCAGCCAAAGAGTTAAAACATTCTGCAAAGAAAATGTTTCATCAGGGGGATATTGCAATATTGGGCATACCACCAGCATAACAAGTTGCTACTCACACACACAAGAAACCCCATTGTTAAAGTACTATGGGCAGCAGACCTGCTGCTATAAGCCTAGAGATCTTTCCTTGGTGAGCCAAAGGCAAATTTCTAAATGCTTAGACTCTATCATATCCCATGCCCCATAAATTATTTTACCTCCTCGCAAAGCATTGTATATAGTTACTACTGCTTTCCACTTCCGTTACTCTTCTGACAGTTACAGGAAGAGGACGACAGCGATCTAGATTTGCAGTTCCAGGCTGTCAGCTTGATCAACCCCCACTTCTCATAGACTATTCACCCTCTTTGGGACCACACTTTTAAATGATGACACTGCTGAAAACATACAGGCTGAACAACCCCCATCATACTTCTTCCACACTGCAGGACCTAGGAGTGCTTCCCAAACTCCCCATGCCTCTATGAGTAACACACCTTGGGGATCTTCTGCAAGATGCTGTGATCAAATACAGGAATCAATCCACTAAGCTCATTCAAGGTAAAAGCTGACCATGCTACAGGAGGCCTGGATACAAAAAAAAATAGCAGGGATCAGCTTTCAAGGAAGAACAACAAAAAACCACCTTAAAAGCTGCTAGGATTATGTCCTTGTAACATTTGAAGAAAATACAAGATTTAAATCCTAAAACTTTTTGATCACTTCCTGTTACACAAAACTTCATTCCACAAGAGCAGGAGCAACTGTTAGCAACATGAATAACGACAGCTGGATCGGAAAATGGCATTTAACAAATACATTATTTTCTTAAGCATGAAACCCAAAGAATATCTACTGCTTACTTATCGTCCAATTCAGTGCCAAGATCTCAGGGCATTTGACACAGGAAGAGAAAAAATTTTGCCTCCCTGGACAATGTCTCTGTTAAGATTTATCAAGCATCTGTTGGTTTGACAGGTAGAAACAATGTTTTCTGAAAGTCAGTGGCTGACAAACAGCTAGAGGCCACCTGTGTCCATCAGGACGGTCTCAGAGAAGTTTGGTTAATGAAAAATAGACCAGAGGAAAAGCTTTTATAACTAGAGCAGATGAGACACAGAAATGACAATGTATTTTTCAGTGGAATTCCAGCCAAACCTTTCAGCTGAAAGGAGTTCAAATAAAACAATGTAAAAGGCCCAATGTGAAATTCAAAAGCAACAAATTATTCAAGTTTTTGATGAAACTGGTTGGCTGGAGTTCACTCAGGTCTTAATGGGACGATGGTTTTGTTTAAGGGAACTGTTTTGCTGATGCCCAGAAGAAAAATTCATACCCAAACGTAGTGTTACCACTGCTGATGACACTTCTAATAGCCTCTTCTTGATCAGGCAGGAAAGATTCACACTGACTTAATTGCTTCAGCAAATTCCCACCAGAACTTCTAATGTATTCTCCGCCCAGGTCACAGACCAGATGCCCTAGAATCTCTGCATTTTCCTCGTTTACTTGTGTGCCAGGAATTTTCTGAAATAATACAAGACAGAGGCATTAAATAGAACTGGATGCCACTGTAGAAGAGCATTCTTGAACCCCAAGTTCTCCCCAGCCTTGTGCAGAGCTGTCTCCTCACCACATACCAAACATGCTAAAGCCTCCAAGAGCAGCTCTTTCCGCTGAGATGACTCTCTTTGCAGAACATCAAGATTTGCTTTCCCAATATTAGCAAAGTACTGCCTACAGCTTCCTGTTGCTGCATAGTCTGAAGGACTAGAAAGACAAATACTCCATGAATTCTAGCGAATGATATCAAACAGCTGGTCAGGTTCAAGGCTGTTCAACATATACTGTGTCCAATATAACATCTTCCACATCTGCGGACTAAAGTCTATGCAATTGTTCTTCCCAAAGATCCTAGTCTATATTTAAAAATTCATTTTCACCTTAAGGAACCCATTGTGAGACTCAGCTTAAAATTGTTCAAGATTTGGATACAGAACCACAGTGAGTAGCTACTAGAACAAAGAAATCCACTCTACTGTCTGTTTTCTTTGATGTTTTAAGGGAAAAGCACACTCACAGATGCCAGAAAGTACTAAAACTGCATACTGGTTTTATATCCAAACAGACATGTTTAAAAAGAGCTTCATACTGTTTATATTAAATGGATGGTTGAATCTGAAAGGACCTTAAAACCCTTTTGAAAGACTTCTGCAATCTGATTTTTTTTTCCCCCCTGTAAGGAGACCTAAACAAGTTTGATATACACATCAAACATGAATTAGTCATTACCAGCTAGGTTACAAAGTAATACCTCTTTTTCCCCACTAAGTACTAAGGCAACAACATGAAAAACCATAGCACAGTTACCTTAAAAAAAGCAAAAGGTCTTTCGGATAGTTATCTAAATCCTGGGGAATGCCATGCAGTGTCACCATCTTCACTAAGCAACTCAGCTGAAAGGACACCACAGTTTACATCAAAGAAAGAAAACAGCATGAAAATATAAGAAAAAAATAAAACATATATAAAGATTTTACTCTGCTCCAAAGTAAGAAAAATAAAAGACAGAAATCAGAGGTTTTGGTTCTTGAGAAACCTAGCCAAACGGGTTTTGACTTCTCTCTTCGGGGAAATTCAGAACTGTGGGATGGAGACCCAGGACCAGTTACATTTGTTCTAGTCCCTTAAGCTGAAAGTTTGCTCTTGCTGAACAATCCTCATTGCTACCTTCATGACAACATCAAATACTGCATTTCAAAATATGGGAACTGACCTGGTCTTCTCCTAGCTTGACATTCTTCTTCTTCATGACTTTGGCCAGCTCCTGAAATCTTTCTGCTTCCATCTCATTGGCAGCTGCACATGTGAAGCCTTGGAGGACTGACTGGGAAAGCCTGAACATTTACAGAAAGCACATCAGAGGGGCAAGGACTTCAGGAGATAATTCGGTGCTCGTCTCCCACATATATAATGACAAATACAGCAAGCATAAACCTCCTCCATTCTCAAAGCTTAATGCTCTATAAACTTCATCTCCTCAAAACTGCTAGTCTTAACATATGTGGGAGATCTGGTCAGATAAACATAATGTAGAGACTCATAGTGGAAGTAGAAATGCAGGGACAAACTCTTCACCCCAAGTAGTATTGCTGTATCCTGAATTACAAGATCAGTCTCCTCCCTGTGTTTTCAGTACAAGCCACACATTGAAAATGAAATGGAGTTGTGCAGATCCTCATCACTGAACATAGTTTGCACAGTCTGGGAGAGCTCAGGGACAAGTCCTTAAAACTTTAATTGCTTTCTATATGGAAAAGCTTCTTTTGTGAAATCAGAAGGACACTAATGCCGACTCCATTGTTTTTCCAGATATATATCATGGTTTTCATAATTTTTTACCTCAGATAGGAGACCTGACAAAAGACATATCAGCCCTGCTAAATTTAATCCCTGGAATACCACTGTGGAAGACTGACATATTCTCCAATTAAAAACGCCTTCCACAGAGGCAGTCAGAAGCAAGGTTCCAGGTGCAGTCTGAGCCAGCAGTGTCATTTTAGAAAGCAAGTGTGGCTTATGGGTAATTTTTGCAGCTGACATCCTTGTAAATCTTGATGCTACATGCCTGCATTTGGGTTTGCATGGTATTTCCCATCTGTTGCTATGGATTGAATATGGTGGGTCTGCCATACATACCAAAGGAAACACGGAAATTGCAATCAAAGCACACACAAACATGGAAAATGGAAGGAGAGAAGAAAAATGCTACCTGCTGAAGTCAGGCTCTGTCTTTATCACATCACTGAAAAATATGGCAGCCTGTGAAGCAAAGCCAGAGTGTCAATGATTTACCACGCTCTTCTGCAACATTCACCTGTATTTTCAGACAGATTTGCAGAGTGGACTCATAGCTCTGTAAAGTCCAAGGCTGACACTGAGGGGTAAGAAGGACACAAGGCACCAGCATATTACCTGTTCTCGGGTCCACATTTTACTGTTGAGATCCTGAATATTGGGCTTCTCTTCCCCAAAAACAAGCAATGATTTTGGAATGTAACTGGCCAGAGCATCAGGAATACATTTAACCAGGTCAGCAGGGTGGTCTACACTGGAGGAAATCTTTAAAAAAACCAAAAACGTATCATTCAAACACTGTGGCTAAAATAAAACAATTGCTGGAGAAGAAATGACAAACTGGAAAGAAGCCAGGCAAATTCCCCTGATGATCATCTGGGCATTTCTCAGAGTCATAACACTATGAAATATTTCCTGTTTGACATATTCATCAGACTAGGAGAGCTGCTTGGAACTAATACCTGGGGTCCTGATGAAATGGAAAGATTCTGCCTCTTATCAGTTTCCCACCTCCTGACTTTATGCCCTAAAAATGTTTAGCCGGCCAGAAAGGAGGGACATGTCTTTCTGCTCTGCCAACAGAAACAATGTCTCAACATGCCAAAGGCACATTGCAGAACTATCCTGTGGTGAACGAGATGTTATTTCCCTAAGCTTCACACAGAACCCTGCAGGGCACCCCATCGCCCCAGGACATGCTACAGGCAGGGCCTCTGGTGCCAAATACAGGTCAGAGTCTTTCCTACCGGAGGGAGGATGAATAACAACAAACTTGAATGCTACACATCCAACTTGAAGGCTAAAGTCATGGCATGAAAAAAGGCAAAGAGGTGTCCAAATCCTACACAATCACATGGGGGAATGAAATAGTGCATTGCTGAAGGATCAGTCTACCCTAAAAGAGACTTTCTAAGCTTCCTTCACTTCTCACACGTTCTTACTCCAAACCATGACAATATCCTTTCTCCGAGAGCATCTTTTCAGGTCAGTGGAGAGTAGTTTCTAGGACCACCCCATAAAACAACTGTCTCTTCTGCCCACATCCCCAAGAGGCTTGGCAGGACACGCTGGCTGGCAGCCAAGGACATCTACACAGGCACAGTGATAGGGACTCGAGATGCTTGTCCTGCTGCACACTCTGTTTAGCAATGACAAACACCCCCAAGGGAATGCTGTCTGGGTGTGCAGGTGTGTGTAAATGCCTGGCCCCAGGTAACCAGTGTTCTGAGCTGTGAGTCATTGAAGCTTTGCTAATTTATGACGCCTGAAGAGAAAAACAACTTCACCTTTTCCACAAATATCATTTTCAGAACAGAGGGCAGGGTCACCATTTGCTGAACAAACTCAGGCAACTTAATGGCTTCCAAGAACACTTCTGGAGACAGACTTCGAAGCGTGCTGCTGTTGATGCCAGCTACCAAGCTCCCTAGCTTCGCCAGGCTCTGTCCATCCCGGATCTGAAAGGTAAAGCATGCAGGCACGAGTACGTGAAAGGCCAAACATCATTTGCTAGCAGCTAGCTCTACCAGGTGTGAGGTGCATTTGTGGACCTTATCCTTTGTACCTGATAGCCAGAGCTGAGCAGTTTGTTGATAATAGTGCTGGACTGCTCAGTGTTCCAGCCACGAACTTCACCCAGGGCAGGAATAGATGCTTCAAGGTCTTTATCACTGATGCTGTTTTCAATGTCGGATATGGACAGCCCAACTGCAGCCTGGCCCAATGCACGCAGGATTGCAGGAGGGAAACGCTCAAACTTTCTCACCAAAGAGGATGCAACCTGAAAAGGTCCCACACAGACAGAAAAGAAAGTCAGAGGAGCAATGAGGTGAGTTTATTGGATCCTACAGCCTTTGGACGTCTTAAATCACTGGACTTTCTGCCTCAAATGTGTGTGATGAAGCCTGTTGATGGGCTGCCTCCACCCACTGAGAATTTTCAGATTATGAAACACCACCCAGACACCACAATAAAAAAAGCAAGATGACCTACAGGAGTGTACACAAGAGGAGGGATGAGAGTTGAATCCTCAACCCTCACAAATTTTGTCTAGGTGAATGAAAAACTGAACTGAGTCGTGGGGCTGGACAGGAGATTACCTGCAGTTCCTCTGTTGTCAGGGAGGAGGGAGCTCTCTCTCTAGTTATTCCTCTGTGTTTCAGGTTCAATGGGCAGTTCTCACTGATCCTCTGGGCCAAGCTCAAAGCATCGTCTCTGCTCAGGTTGCTCACTGCTGAGGGGCTCAGGTAGCAAACAAATCTGTCTGGGAGGCTGCAGGTGGGAGACAAGGAGGAGAGGTTGCCAGGACGACAGACAGATCTTTCCTCTTTTTCCAAAGGATGCTCTTTTCCAGTGCATATTTCCCCTGATTCATTTTAGCTCTGACAATGCTGATGATCCTGTTTATAAAGAGCACTGCAGTGTCATGCAAAACTACAAAAAAACATGCAAGATGCAGTGCCAGCCACCAACTAATGACCAACAGTGCATGACAGTCATTGCCCAAGACTTGGAACTTATGGTCTGGCCCTCCCCAAGATCAAGCACAATGTAATGATATGAGGAACAGAAAAATGCTTTAAAGGTTTCATGGAAGCTGCCATCAGACTCACCACTCAGCAAACTTTTGCTAAGTCACAGTACCATGCTAAACCATAAGTCAGGTAGGAAGTCAGGTCAGGTCCTGTACCTTGATAAGGAGAAACCAGGCCCAGAGGTCAGAAGTGAGGTATAGTACACAGCTGTCTCCCGGAGCAAGGTGAGGTTGCTGATCATCTGTATATTGACTGGATCCCTGGCAAATTTTTGAAGCTGAGGGTGTTGACGAGGGGGAAAAAAAATAATAATAATTTAGATGGATACTTTAATCCTGGCAGTCACTTGGGACAGTTTGAACAAACCTCACATCAAGCAATAAGGGTTTTTTCACCTGACTTTAAAGTTGTGAGGAAATTTATTTTTTGTTTTCAGGTAATACAATGGGACCTTGTTTTATTTATCTTTGCACTCCAAGGGCATGTAAGCCTCTCTATGACTGCTGTAAGGCACAAAGGTGGGAGAGCTGGTAAAGGACATGGCCCTGTCTCTACAGCACCACTCACATGTGCAGGCCTGGTACAGTCATTCACTAAAGCAGGCCCAGACATCGGTCCAGTCTTGAATTAAAATTCAGGTTTACTCCTCTTACTGACTCCAGTTTGCTTTCTGCAGAATTACCTATGTGAAACCAACTTCTGAGCAAGTGCCTCCTACCACAAGAAATCATGATGGGGGGGAGGGGGGTGCAGGGATAAGAACTGAAGTGACTGTGCATCATAAGTAAACAAGAGAAATGTTCCCACTAGCAGCATCTCCGTGAATTTTGGTCAGGCAGGAACACAACCTCCCAGGCACACAGTATTTTGCACACTGCAGGTCCTTCATCACCACAATGAGCCTGCACTTACTGTTGGTTCATCACCAAAAAGCTGCAGGTCTCCAACAGTAGCATGCTCCAAAAAGGATCCAAGATAATTTTCAAACCAAGCAGTGGAATTAAGACCTGGAACAGCTGCACTGTAGCATTTCTGGTTTGATCCTGCAAAACAGGCAGACACCATAAAACTACAGACTTGCACTGTATCAGAAAATCAGTGGAGACTGCAGATTTTTAAATGCAGAACAGGCTTCAGTCTATCGAAGAACTCAGTCAACAGAGAGCTCCCTAAGTGCCTCTGATCACATATCATGCTCAAAATCCACATTTGTGCATTCAGATTACAAATGCACATGGGACAGGATAGATGCCTCATTCTTTCACAGCCCTCAAAATATTTAATCACCAGTGTCTTTCTTCCTCCCCTCAAATCTGCCAAAAACTTTTTGCAGGACATTAAATTTTTGCATGCAAGCTACTGCCTGAAGACAGAGGAATGTCTTACCTGGGTCCCCTTTCCGAGCTAATTTCTGAGCTGAATTCTTTAGCGCTCAGAACCAAACCCTGCACCGCTCTTTCACAACAAAAGCGGTAAGTGCCATTTTCAAAGGATGTACATCAGCATAGGACTGACTGTGCTGATTCATAAAAATCCTGGATTAAAGCAGCCTTCAGGCAGGGAAACGATTCCTGATACCACTTATTACTGTCATATTCCCAGCCTATTTCCATTGAAGAGACAATATAAATTCACAAAAAAATCTGTGAAGCCTCCACCCTGTAACAGATTGCAGCTGATGTCATAGCATACATCAGTGGCTTAAAGCATTCTGTTGTTTCTTAAAGAAAATCAAGTCATTTACCATCCTGGATGAGATAGTATTTGATCCCAGCATAAAGATTCCTCTGTTCCTCCACTGGAAGGTCAGAATATACGCCATTCAGGGCAGCGACTCTAAAGACAGGTAAGAAAGGCAGACATCTCAAACACAGATGAAGTCAAACCTGGCAGGGTTGGATTCTCACAGAAACAGCTGTTACTTGAAGACCGATGTTACCAATCACATCCCTTTTCAAAGCTGCCAATGTGACTTTCCTTCACAACAGCCCCCACAATCATCTGGGGGCTGCACTACCAATCCTGCAATACTGCTTTGGAAACACAGTGTTATCAGGGTCATTACACACACATGGACTGATGCAGAGGACCAGTTACAGGGTCAGGAGGTGCGTTACAAAGCCTTGGAGAACGCTTCTTAGAAACCCTGCCTGGGCCTCCATCAGTTCACAACGCTTACAGGGTTTAGCCCCTTGTTTTGGGAGGCTGGAGTAAGGGCCCCTTTCCTATCTCAGCACCACGGGACTGAAACAATGTTTGTGTTCAGCACTTACATCATCTGAAATGTCTCACACAACACGTTTTTGTCATGGAGGCAAGCAAAGACCTTGGGCTCGACCAGGAATGCTTGAAGCCCCTCATGGACCCACTGAGACAAAATGGGTGGGCTGTCAATATCAGGTACTTGCAACATCTTCTCCCATAGACCATTAATGAAGATCATGTTCCACTCGAGAGAAAGAGGCCCATGAGAAAACTGAAGGCAAGAGACAAGAAGAAACACAGGAATTCAAGTGAGTATGAACTTCTAAACAAACATGAACATAAATCCATATGAATCTGAACATTATGAACAGAATCACCCCTAGCAATAATCCCCTCTCTGGATAGCGACTCTTCCACCACAGCAATATTTATGCAACTCAAGTACAGTCAGCCTGTAATTCACATTGGAACCCCATGTCTGCGTTGCCACTGCAATTAGCAAGAGCTAACCTACATGAACTCATGGTTATTTTTGTCTTCCTAGCTATTTTTAACAGCACAGAACTCTGCTATGTTGGCGGAGATCGGAATGGTGCCCTTTTTAAAATAAAGTAATGTTAAGGTAAAAAATAAGGTAATGTTAATTAAAGCCTTCAACTGGCATTAATGTTACAGGTGAACAAATAGTTGAATATGTGAGACCCACCCGCTGGCTGAACATAGTCAGAGCAGCTACAAGCTTCTTGGCATCATATTTGGAAAAGAACAGAATGGAGTATTCTGGATCCATAGCACTGGCAGGTTTAGGGGTAAGGCAAGAATATAAGGATATGAGGAAATTATCCTGAAGGTCCTGGAGCCAAGCACTCTGAAAAAAAAAAAAGGGAAATCCATATAGAGATAATAAAAGGGGTGTCATATTTAGAGATGCTGCAGTATGCAATCTCCTTCAGGTCTGCTTTACTAGCTCACCTACATGTGAGTATTCAGTACTGTAAGGTGACGAAACCTGTTGTCAGAAGAGTCAGAAGAAAGTCCAACTTACACTGACCTGAAGCAACTCTAAACTTACCCAGTTCCAAATGCTGGATCCTTCTGTTACCTAATCTGTGCTCCCCCCAAGCAAAGGGTCACTTTAAAAAACTTTATTCAAAATGTTTTCCACCAAAAAAAAAAAAAAAAAAAAAAGGCCATTTGATCAAAGTGGGAACTTCCATAGGGAACTTTCTCATTCCAGAAACATTTTTCAGTGAAAAAACCCAAACAAAAAACCCACCAACAAATATTTGAAGAAATGACATCTTTTTGTTAGAAACATTTATGGGAAAATACAAATCATTGTCAATTCAATTGCAATTACTGGCAGCACAGCAACTTAGAGATAATGACAACAGCAGGAAAGGAAGTAAACCTGAAATATTCCAGATGACATTTTTCCACACTGCAACCACTTTTTATTGTGGCTTACCCCGATGGACCAGGGTTACTCTCATGCAGAGATCTGTTTCAACGCTATGATGCCAGTTTCTAAGAACCAATTTGTTTTGGAAATCTCCTTTGTCCCACCTTCTCACTTGAGAGTTTTGGAAAAGACAGCATCCCCCACTTCCACAGACAGCCCCAGAAAGGCCTCCATGGAGGTGTAGCCACTCCTGAGCCTCATGACACTGAGCACACGTTGCCTGGGAAGGTGACACCCACAGCTCAGTGCTCTGGATGGTCCCTGTGTGTTTGATCCCATCCCATCTCTCAGTCTTGTGAGGGAAACCTTGACAACCCAGACCCCAAGCGTGCACAAGGCTTTGGCCACTCCATTCACAGCTGACAGTGGGACAGCTTTTACGATAGAAATGACACTATTGTCAAGGAAAACAAAACACACTAGTCCATGAAAAGAAGGGGACTACCATTACCTGTGCACAGGCATATTGACCAAAAGTGAGGCTGCAGGGGGAGGCTTGGCCACGGGCTACCTCAAGAAGCATCTCTTGGCTGACACTGGTGGGAAAAAAGCAAAGACATCACCTCCATGCTGGTTGCCCCAGACCTGCAGCAGCTGAGGGCAGAACTGGCTGGGAGCTGGCACTCCACCAGCAATATGTCTGCAGACACAGGCATGGAGCACAGCTGCCTGAGCCCTGAGTCCAGGCAGTCAGTGAAAGGCAGTTGAATGTCCTTGACCACATGCTTTTGTTCATTGAAGTTTTGTTCATCTGCAGCAGGGACAGCTATTAGCTACTCTCATGTAAAGGGTCCAGCCTACACATTAAGGAGCAGAAGCAATGCCAGGCAGCCATAACAACTAGGCACAGCCCACACAACAAATACAGAAGAACAAACACATAACATGGACAATGAGAATTATTTGCCAGCACCATTCGGGAGCAAGGAGAGGGTACTTGCAAATTGTTGACCCTTAGGTAGAAATCAAGTTCAATGAAGGCTTGAAGCAGACCTGCTTGAGTCTTAGGCTCCCACCACTAGCCAAGCTAAGCTCAGCACCAACGCCAAGGTTCTTGGAGCAGTAAATCTCCACTGCATCAGGCTGGCTGACACACCAGGGACTTGCCCTGCCTTTCTTTGTCCTGCACAGACACAGAGCCCCAGGAAGGCATTCTTCCTTCACTGTTTTAATGAGCACAACTAGAGCTCTCCCTGCCCACAGGCAACCCTGGGACTTTGTGGGGAAAAAGATGCTACACCTGGTTTCAGAGGCTTCCTGCTACATGAAGTGACATCCCCAACAAACCAGTACTGCTCACAAGGAAAAAGCTGCCAAGTTAATTTGCTGATGGTTCACATACCTTTTCACTGAAGCACACACAGCAGGTTCTGATTCCCCAAAAAAGAGAGAGACACAAAGATAAAGGAACTGTGATAAGAATATTTATACAGAACCATGTCTGAATCTTCCTTATGGAGATTACTTGGTCAGAAACTCACCATTGACAGGGGAGCTGGAGCACTGCGCCAGGAGAGAGAAAAGAGATAATCTTATCATGCAGTTACAATGGTAGCACAACATTATTTGTGATCATTGCACACAGACAAGCATGTTAGCTGCAACCATTTGTACTTGGATATGGCCTGAAAACACATAAGTGCCCAGATCCAGAGCTCCCATCTTGCCATGTTAGGTAGCTGCCATCTGTAAAATCGTATCAGTACTGGCCTGGTACTTCAAACAGCTGGAAAGTTCAGGGTTATGCAAATCCTCCCATCACTCACACGTGAGAGCCAATGGGATGGACTGTTCTCCTGATGATTTGAGTGTGGTTGATGGGTGTCACCTTCATTGAACTGTCTGCTGATGTGCTTTCACTGAAGCCCTGCAAAGACCTGGAGAAGCCATCCCCACTCCCCTGACACCTTGGGAGACAGGAAGGGGAAGGGCACTTAGCATCCACCTCCATGCTCAATGCACTGGATCTGGCTTGTAGCAATTGATTCCCATCAATGCACTGCTATCAGGAAGGGGCCCACACTGACCACCAACCCACACACTCTTTGCAAGTAAAGACATGGATAACCCATATTTTAAACACGTGAGTTTGCCTTACCAGATACGTCCCAGGAGAAGCTGCAGCAGCTACCTGCCAACCTGGAAGACAACGTGTCGTGATTTTAGCAGCAAATCCAGGACAAAGCTCATTCCCACAGTCCAGCCCCTGTCTGGCTTAACAGAACCTGAACATCACTCATCTCACTACATTATTTTATTCCTCATTCCTGACACAGTATTTCACAGAATCATTTCTATCAGACCTTTCTGCTGTGTTCTCTTTGACTTTGTGACAGTTGACTGGGTAAGCAGACATGAGGTACTCCTCTATCTACCCCGAGGCAGTCTGGCAGAGGACAGAAATGCGGTGTCTTAGATGACGTGAGGGATTGCATGCACCTCTGTCCCCAAAGAGGAAAAGGCAGGGAAAGGGCAGAAACAACACTCTGAGGACAGTCCTTCTCTCCAAGACTTCCTTGCCCAGTATCCCTTGCACACCATGGCCAGCCCATGGTCAGCAATCAGCCTGGGAGGCCAGGCTCACTGTGCTTATACTTCCAGGTTGCTTTTAACTTTGCAGCTTCTACTTGTTCCTTACAGCATCTGCATCAACATGTCAGCTGTAGCCAAGCCTGTGTTGTATTTCATACATTTTTCCTGCTAAGTCCTCAACTGGATTAAAATCACCCTATGCTGCAGAACTGCACAGAACACAGGTAATGCCAGTGTATGACAACCCTCATGCCAGTCCTGCCCTAGTGGTTGACAGGGATTTACTGAAAGAAGTCAACCTGTCACTGCTAGCTCTTGGCCAGTCTGTACAAGCCCTCCACTTGCCTGTTCCTTGTATCCCAACTTTTACATTGTTCCTGATGCCAGCTTACATCTCCCCTCCCAATGCCATGAAGCTGGAAAAGTGGTGAAATGCAAGCTTAGGAAACCAGTAACAACCAAACTCAAATCTCCCCGGCATTAGTATTATTTACTTCAGATTAGGAGCCTGCCAAGCTCAGCATTCTCTGTGTACAGAAAAAAGGGGAAGGTAGAGACTTCCCCCTGGTTTCTGACAGGACAGAACAAGTCAATACAACAAACGCTACATGAAATGAGATGCAGGGAGAGGGAGAAGGCAATAGTTAGAGGCTTCTGAAGTTATCCTGGCAGGCTATCACAATTTGCTAGCACTGAATCACTGCACAGTTGGTTTTGTCAGTGTGTTTCTCTAAGGGCACGCTTGGGACTCAGTTGGTCAGCACTGTCACCTTCATCCATCTCCTGGTGCAGCTGTGCCTGGTCTCAGCCCACAGTGAGGCACCAGGGCGCTGCAGAGCTCTCTGCCACATCCACCCCTCACCGCATTTGCCCACCACCACGCCACACAGCACAGCCAGTTTGCACCATTGTCCTCCCACGTCTTTAGCTACATCCTTTGACCCAGCTTGGTGCATGGCAGACCACAGCAAGCCCAGAGTACTGCCGCTTCTCTGCAAGCCTTGTTCATTTGTTCAAGGAGTAACTCAGGGCCGAAAGTTTGGCCATTAGCTCTCAGCAAGGAGAACAGCACCAGCGTTAGTGACTTTGCATCAGGCACTACAGCTGAGAGGATGCTGAAGTGGCTACAGAGATCATCCCCACCCATGACTCATCTCCTGGACCCACAGACCAGCTAGCCCAGGGCCAGTTGAATAGTTCCCAGCAAACACATGGAGGTGTGGCAGAGCTCAGGTTCATCACACTTGCTCCATGGCTCTAAAGCATCAGTAACTCCCAGCCTTCATACCCCCCTGGGGGAAGCATGTCAGGATTGGTGTTATCTACAAATATTTGGTCAGAAGTGACTCATGGGAGTAATGTGGAGGAGCTGAGCCCCAAAACCAAAACACAGAAGCAATCTCCTGTGGTTCCTCCACACTATATGGCTAATGGACTGGGCTAAGCTGGCCCAGGGCAGTGTCAATCAAACCCACAGTAATATTTGGGCACAGAAATCAACATGACGGGAGACCCTTATCACTGAACTGTGAAAGGGAGGAAGAGGGGGAAGAGGAATGCAGCAGCTTTCCTGGACGTGGACGTGTTCATGAGCCCAATGACCTGCATTAGGAAGGGGACTATAAAATAGCTTGTAGGGATGCATGAGTCCCTAATTAGTATAACAGCTTTTTTGATTACTAGCTGCTACACCTTTTTTAATCATTTAATTAACAGAGAACTGTCACTAAGTAACAGGCAAAGGAAACATACCCATAGCTGGGCAAATGCAGTGCTTTCGTCAAAGCTCTTATGCATATGTTTAACTTTAAGCATGCAAATCGTTCCATTGACTCGAAAGAGCAGTGTTCAGAAACACCCACACAGGAAGGAGGAGGAAGAGGAAGGGTGGCTTCTCACTCTCCAAGATCAGAGAGGACCCCAACCTACTATCACAAAAATCCTCATTGTATGACAATAAATCCTTCATCTCACAACATCACAACAAAGGCTACGGACTCAGCTCATGTCATGAACCACCTAAGATATGTGCGCATCACTCTGGGAGCAATACCCTTCTAAACATTCCTATCACTCCCATGCTTTGTTAGTGCACAGGCACACCAGGCTGTGGTGAAGCCTTCCACAATGGAAGAGGCTGTCCCCTTCACCCGCCTACGCTGTGCTGTTCACAGTTCAACTGCTCTCCACAGTCCCTCCTCCTCCATGAGAGCACTTCTGTGCCACGAGGTTGCTGAGCACTGCCCTGTCTCCCCACTGCTTCTTTACAACAAGGCTGTTCACACCGAGTGTGGCACCACTACACTTAGATCTCCCGTCCTTCCCTTTCAGAAACCTGTTTATGGACTCTCAGAAACCTGTGTATTCTTTCTTCTCTCTTTGATCCATCCCCAAAAGGGCAGTGCATGCAAGCTGTTGGATGCAAATTCTCTACAAGCTCAACACATTTCTGATAGTCTGCCTTTCCTCCATCTCCAGTTACCTAGGGCATTTACGGAAGAAGATGGGTAGATGGACGGGGGCAAGCATGGCCCAAAGAAATGGAATGATTTCCCACGGCTGCACACTAAGCCAGTGGCCAACATGAGAACACACCACCAAAATCACTGACCTGCCAGACTTAAAAGCAATTGCATTAAGAGTCATTAACTTTTACAAGCAACCTGTGTACTTCTGCTGAACAGAGACATCCCTCCTTGCACAGGATGTTAATAGAAAACTGGAAAAGTCACATTTTCATCAGGGGGTCCATAATACATTGGTCAGTTCTGAACAGCAACAACTGCTTAATGAAAGAAATAAATAAAATTTTAAAAGTTATCTGTTTATTTGGTTTCCTTCCTTTAGTACTGGTAACTAAGCATACTGCAGAGAAAACGATGGTCCCCTGACGTAGCTGCTCCTCAGCTGGTGGCTCATTAGCTTGTTCGTAATGTTACAAGTTCATGTTTTATTGTCATCAACATTCACTGAAAACATGAGATCAACTCTCATGAGGAAGGAAGAATAAAGTGCTGACACTTTCTGGAAGAAACAAAGATCCTGCTCTGAAATCCCTTACTACCAAAAAAACAGATAGAGGGAAAGTGGGGAATATAGAGGCAGATTCAGCTAAGATTACTTCTTAAGTGCTTTCCCAGAGACACCTGGACACCTCCGACAAAAGGAGCAGTGAGCAGACAGCTCTGCAACAACAGGAGGAGAATGAATTCCAATTTTGTCTTTCCACCCTGTTTGTTACAAAAACTAAGATATTTTGGCTCACAGATACAATAATAAACAAGCATCACTAAAGGCTGGGGATTTAGAGCAACCACCAAAGTAATGTTCAATGGATTTTCAGCACAATTTCCCCTTTTGAGGATTATCTCAACTACAGCTGCTGGTATGGAAAATCTTCCCGGGACACCCGTCACCCTCACAGTAATACTCACCAACCAAAAGGAGGAAGCCCAGCCCTGGGACTGAAGGCGACATTTCGGCAAAGGTCTTCAGAGTGCCCACACGTGCAAGGAATCACCTTATTTCAGCCAAGAAAAATCAAACATGAATAATACTTAACTGCAAAGCCAAACTCAGAGTAGGAAAATTAAAAGGTGACTGCCTCGCAAGCAAACTTACACATGCCAATACCCTTCACAAAACCTATCTGAAACTAGACCCAAAGCACACAAAAAAAACTATTGAGGGTCCACCATGCGTGGGAAAGCACGGAGTTGCATGCAGAGAATTCAGAGTTAGTTAAGCTAGATTCACTGCTATCGATGCCCTGAAGTCAGGTTCCCCTCTGGCAGAGGAGGCTAAGAGGTGCACAACCCTGCTTGGAGGGTTAACTGTGGTGCTTACCTCCAAGTCGCTAGTCACTGGGCTCTTAGTGTGCAGGGCTATGATCAATCAATTGTAGAGGGCTGCTTTTCACTGAGCAAACCAGGGTGTGTCTCTGGCTTCTCAAAACTACATCTGAAATTACAGGATGAATTTGGAGCACTGGACACACCTACAAGTGTTTGAGAACATAAATGTTTAGCAGTACAAATAAGCGTGTGTTATTTGTTTAAGCTTGTCATTCCTAGGATACAGTAGGAAACACTGAGCCTGAAGCGAGCAGGATGAGAGCAGTGAATAGGTGCATTCCCTCCCTGCCCTGCACAGGATGTGTTTGGCATTTACAGGATGCAACAAAAGTAAAGCTGTGCTCCCAGAACTGAGCTACTCTAGGACCACCTTCCTCCAGTTACTAAAGAAATGTCTGTCATCAGGAAATTTTGCTTCAGTGGAACTTGAAATGTTTGGCCCTTTTCTTAAAATTTCTGCTTACCTCAGTCGTCTCCACCTGGGAAACCCCAAAGAGAAATATATGGCAGCTCCTCTGCTGGCCAGCCAGGTCATTTTCAGATCACAGGTATGTTGAATTGAGAACTCTGCTCCAGGCTCAGCGAGGTCAATCAACTGAAACAGAGCTCTCTGCTCAGGGCAGATGAATCAGGATAGCTGAAATAAAAAAATGCAGCCCTACAGTAGGATAGGACTGGTGCAGGCAAATCCCATAGCATGGCCATCTGTCTTATTTCCTTGAAGAACCTTTCCTTGCTGAGGTGCTCAGGGGTGCTCATGGCACGCTGGCCTCATGCCAAGGTGCCCAGCATGTGCACCCAAGTGCCATATGGGCTCTTGCATCAGCACCCACTGTAGCAACTCATTAGCACTCACAAGCATGACAGCAACAAGACCACTGAGCAGGAATTTTATTATCCAATGGCTGCAGAATTGTAATCCTAGAGATCCCTGTCTCCCTATCACCAGAAGTGGCCTTTCCCTCAACAAACCTTCATTTATTTCCTTGCTGCAAAGACCCTAGGATATAACTTTACTGGCTTTCCAATTCCTGCAGGCTGCTCTATTTTAAAAACTAAACAACGTTCTTATTGAAGAGATCACATTTAGTTTTAAGGGGTCTTTATGCAGTAACTGCATGCTGCAGGAGCTGAGGAATGGGTGACAAACCTGCTCCTTCAGCTGAATCACACATGGTACTGTTCCCCATGATCTCCCCAGACCCCTGCATCAGCAGTCAGGGGGATGTCCTGATTTTGACTGAACTTGTGTTCTCCTCAAGCTAACTGTCAGTCTGTAAGCACTTCAGCAAGAAAAACTTGGCAAGCATACTCTGCAAGAATAAAAATGACACCTGCTGCAGATTCTAACAAGGAATGGATATTAAATTATATTCCACCATTTCAGACTTCTTTTCACTGACCCTTGGATCTGATCCCCCAAGTCCCTAAGAGAGTACCCACAGTAACTCTCTCAATTTCTCAGGATGCAGCAGAGTAATTTTGCATCCTCAGATTTGAAAAATCTTTGTTTCGTCACTTTAATACTTTTCAAGACAAGTTTTTCCATAAATCCGTTATGTCCTAGGCTTAGGCTTGCCCCAGCATGCCCACCTATAACTCATATGTTTGTGGCAACATCGAGAATAGCCAGTGTTGACTCACACCACCACCACGTAACCCAAACCCCAGCCCTCTCCACACTCCCAGTTTTCTTACCTCACTTAAGTTTATCACCGATTTTGGAACTAGTGCAACGTCGATTCATAAATGTAGTTTGTCTGACTCAGAAGTGCATAGGATGCCCAGTGTGAAACTGACTCTCATCAAGACCTATTCTAAGGTACCCAAATCTATATAAACTTGAAATGCATCATTTTGTAAATAGATTCACAGACTCCTAATTCAAAGCAAGAAGCCTCTTCTCCAAGATATCCAAATGAGGTGTCCTTGAGATGGATGAGGATCCTTCAATCAGGTTTCAAATACCAAAGCTTTCAGCATCTTGCACCTTTTGGAAATTCGACATTGCATGCAGACTATCCATGACAGAGGGTCACATAAGTTGTTGCTGGGGAGCCCTGGACATGCTGCTGGACAAACTGCGGGTCCATATAAGAGTCAACCAAGAAAGCAACAAAGAGCATGTGGCACAGCAAGGGTTTGCCATCTGCAGCCAGACCTACGGCTCTTCCCCAGGACATCGGGATGTGAAACGCAAGAACAGGAGAGATCTGAAAAGCAGAGGAAACAACACTGAGCCTCAGCCGTGGATGAGGAAACCAGGGGAGGGGGCAAGCAGAGAGTCAGGATTTTCTGCTTGTGTCAGCCAGGAAGTCATGCATACCTAAAGAGTGTGCAGAGCATCCCCATTATGGGGAGAGAAACCAGAGCTCACAAAGGCAAGGAGGAACTTTCATCTGTAAACAGATCGGTACTTTTCTTACATCTGTCCACAGGGTGGCTGAGCAGAAGCATCCAGTACCTGCCATTTGTGTTCATCCTTTACCAGCTATGAGCCATGAGCACAGATCCAAGAGTGCTAGGTGTGGTACCTACAAGAAGGTCTTTGATTCAAAGAGCATACAGTTGAGGAGATGAAGACAGACAGGGGAGCTCAAAGATGGGAAGACAGGCAATGATTTCAACACAGCAACAGGTGAGCCACTAACACATTTTTGCACACTTCATAGCAAAGCAAAGCTCTAATAATCATAGAATCATTTAGGTTGGAAAAGACCTTTAAGATCACTGAGTCCAACCATCAACCATGCCCACTAAACCATGTCCTGAAGTGCCTTGTCTATGCGCTTTTTGAATACCTCCAGGGATGGTGACTCAACCACTTCCCTGGGCAGCCTGTTCCAATGCCTGACAACCCTTTCAGTAAAGAAATTTTTCCTAATATCCAATCTGAACCTTCCCTGGTGCAACTTGAGGACATCTCCTCTCATCCTATCTCCAGCCACCTGACAGAAGAGACCAGCACCCACCTCACTATAACCTCCTTTCAGGTAGTTGTAGAGAGCGATAAGGTCTCCCCTCAGCCTCCTTTTCTCCAGACTAAACAGCCCCAGCTCCCTCAGCCGCTCCTCATAAGACTCATGCTCCAGGCCCCTCACCAGCTTGGTTGCCCTTCTCTGGACACACTACAGCACCTCAATATCCTTCCTGTAGTGAGGGGCCCAAAAATGAACACAGCACTCAAGGTGCGGCCTCAGTGCCGAGTACAGGGGAACAATCACTTCCCTGCTCCTGCTGGCCACACTGTTTCTGATACAGGCCAGGATGCCGTTGGCCTTCTTGGCCACCTGGGCACACTGCTGGCTCATATTCAATGAGCTGTCAACCAGCACCCCCAGGTCTTTTTCTGCCAGGCAGCTTTCCAGCCACTCTTCCCAATTAATTACATAGAATAAGGCTGGCGCTGATTTGTGGTATTGCATCTGCTCAAGTAAGCCAAGTGAGAGTTACAGCTCCCTAAAATAGGCCTCCAGCTAGAGGATTTTTACCTTTTCGATAAGATGCCACATCCAGATTCACCATTTTGTAGCACTGAAAGCTGGGAACAGCAATTGGGCCTGTTGCAGGTTTTCCTGCACTTTCCAGATCCCATCCTGTCCCAGGCCAGGGACACAGCCACGTTACCACAGGAGGCTCAGCACTCCTTAGCATGTCAGTGCAGTTTTCAGAGGACGGTAAGATCACCCTGATGGATGGCAAGAGAGGAGAATGTCAGTCTCACACAAACTGACACAACTCTGGAAAAGCCGGTTTTATGCCCATAATTCAGCAATAACCTTCATGCTAACCAGAAGGGATGTGGTCTAGGAGCTTTATTCCTATTATCTGAATATCCTTCACAGCATGCAGTGATCCAGGTGGCAACTGTGACTAAGCAAGAATGAGATATTTGCAGCCCACACCTGGGCAGATGAGTCTTTCAGGGGACAGAGCCTAGCACACTCTCAGCTACCACCTCCCCAGAAGCAAAGCGCTCCCTGTCATTAGTCCCACCTGCACCATGTTACCTTCCTAAGCACTGCTCTCCCCACTCTTTATGAACTTTTCTAATTTTGCAGCATCGGGCTTCTCAGCTGCAGTCAAATGGGAACACAAAGCATGTAACAAGAATGCTAGTAAAACTTGCTCTCAGTGGGAGACAACTAGAGATCTTCTCTTATCCGAGAAGAACAGGGGTCTCTGAGACTGCTCAGTCCACCCCTCATACCATGGTGCAATTGTATATACCTAGGCTGACAGAGGTGTAGCCAGCCTGCCCTTGCATAGGCCTGTGAGGGGGATTTTAGAGCTGGCCTGTAATAACAACCACTTCTAACTGTTGTGGTTTAACCCCAGCCAGCAACTAAGCACCACGCAGCTGCTCACTCACTTTCCCCCCACCCAGTGGGATGGGGGAGAAAATTGGGAAAAGAAGTAAAACTCGTGGGTTGAGATAAGAACGGTCTAATAGAACAGAAAAGAAGAAACTAATAATGAGAACACTAATAAAATGACAATAGTAATAATAAAAGGATTGGAATACACAAGTGATGCACAATGCAACTGCTCACCACCTGCCAGCCGACGCCCAGTTAGTTCCCAAGCAGTGATCCCCCCACCCCCACTCCCCCCAGTTTATATACTGGACATGACCTCACATGGTATGGAATACCCTGTTGGCCAGTTTGGGTCAGCTGCCCTGGCTGTCCCCCCTCCCAACTTCTTGTGCCCCTCCAGCCTTCTTGTTGGCTGGGCATCAGAAGCTGAAAAATCCTTGACTTTAGACTAAACATTACTTAGCAACAACTGAAAACATCAGTGTTATCAACATTCTTCTCATACCTAACTCAAAACCATAGCACTATGCCAGCTACTAGGAAGACAATTAACTCTATCCCAGCTGAAACCAGGACACTAACTCAACACAATTACACAGGAGACCTCTCTCTGCCTCCTTTCCCTCTCACACTCCTCCCTCTCTACAAGCTTCCCCTTCACTAAACTGAAAAAAATCCAATGCCTTCACATCACCTCCCCCTCTTCTCCAAATACATGAATTTCCCAGTGATAGCAAGTGGGGAATGAAGCCCAATTCTGCATCATGATCTCTAATGCACATACCAAGAGGCTAGGGCAGGAGGAGAGGCAATGAAATCTGCAGTAGGTGGGCAGGAGCGGGACAGGTCTGAGATGTGGTTTGTACCATGGGAAAATGAGTCAGTGACTTCTCACCCAACCTGACTGTGCATGTGTAGCATCAAGTATGGCTCAAGTGTTCTTCAGTAACACTAAATTGTACAACTGATTGCCAAGGTGTTCCTGCCATGTTAAGTCAGGTGTGGCAACAGACAATAAATCCTTCCAGATCCCTTCTCCACCACACACACCACACGCCCTGCTTAGCCCAAAGTCACTGTACTTCCCTGTGGTTTTCATCCAGAACAAAAGGGGCTTTGTGCTTTCCCAGGAAAGTCAGGTCTCCCATTAGCTCAGGAGAGCACCCTTACAGGATGGGGCTCAGGCTTTTACTTGCGTAAGTCAGACCACAGCCGAGCTCCTCTGTAACCTTGCAAGGGCTATTGTGACTCACTGGGTCCAGACAGTCCCACCAGTGCACTCCTTTTCATTAACCCTAAACACAGTGCATGACCCAGAATCAGAAGGAGATGTTTAAGAACAGGAACAACAGAGCACAAAAGAAGAAAGCTTGCTGAAGAGAAACCAAAAGGGACAGTTAAAAGACTAAAACATTGCAGGTGCTGTGAAAATTATATAAAGGCATACTGAAGGCTGAAAGCAAACACACAGCACCTAGCAAAGAAAACCAAACTCTCATAACTGAACAGAAAGGCAAAGGAGGCTACTGGAAGTAAGAAGGTATCTTTCAAAAACTTGAGGTTATTTTTCTGTCTCTTCATTAGTTGTCTCATGAAGAAATCTGTCAGGGCCCTGCTGGGACAACATGATCCAGGTATAAAAAGAGGATCTGGAGACATACAGCTCTAAAAGGGAAACTAAATTCATTCTTTGTATCCATGTCCATCACACTAGATCCCTTCATTATGTGAGTGCATCCAAGAATGAAGCTCCTATGTAGATACCAACAAAAGAGGTTACAGAACAAAACCACACCAAAATGCCCAGACAAGGTGGACTACATCAAAGAGTGCTGGAGGAGCATAACATGACACAGCTGCAGCGTCCAACCCTTTGCTTGAATTACCTTTGGACCACAGGTCAGAAGGTGACAGACACAACAGCAACTTTTAGAAGGATCTCCAAAGCAGACTGGAGAGAGAACCAGAAGGAAAGGGAGAGACATGAAGGTCAAGTCAGCCTAGAGCAAACCCTTTCTCTTTGGTGGGGCAAGAAACAGGCAGGCTTGCTGCTAGAGTCAAGTGAGCTGCATGAGCCCCTACAAAGGGTTGTGCCTATTGCTGACAGAAGGGGATAAAGACAGAAACAATACAAAGCCTGTGGTCTAAGGTATAAACAGCTCCAAGCCCACAAAAATGGTGTTATGATACAGTCATCACTTACAGTTAGCTCTTCCTTTTGACATCCCTGTACAGATCTCAGGCTTATGGGGACTTGGCACACAAAGGAAGACTCCTCAGTAACTAAAACAAGTCTGTGTGAAACCTCTCCCCTTCTTATCTCTCCAAAAATGCAAACAAGGAAACACTGCTAAAAAAAAAAGCCCACATGGGAGAACTGTGGCAGTGAACCAACTAGCACTGCGCTCCATGGCTCACTGCTTCCTCTGCACAGCAGTCCTGCCCTTGCTCCTGCTGCTCTGGACCAAAACCGCTGTCGCCTACCTGCAGAATCACAGAAGGGAAAGTCAGGACAGCTCTCCAGGCATTCATCAGAATATCTCCTGGCTTAAGAGTGGATCAGTCCTACAACCACTTTGCCTGGAGCAATGTTATGGGTTGGCAGCCTGAAAGATACTGGGTTAAGGCAGAAGATGCGTTTTTTGAAAGCCTCATCTTGCAGGTGACCTACAAATAAGGTTTTCTTCTTGAACATACTGGTGTGGTCAGTGTCAGTAAGAAGAGAGCTTTAGCATGAATAGGCAACTGTGATGTTTGCAGAATGGAGCATTTTGGCCCATTTCAGCTGCACAGCCACCTTTCTCTGCAAACCAATGGATTCATAGGACCAGAGGGATAGTTCAGACTAGAAAAGGAGCTGACTCTCCACACAAGCAATTAAATTGCACAGCTCTGTCTCAAGGAGTGGCAGATACCAGAAGCAGCCATTGGTTCAGAAAGCAACTGAGCAAAAATCATACCCTCAGATTTATTATCAATGCAAGTATAATTTCAAATTGACAGGACTGATTCTTATCACAGCATAGATCTTTAAAAGAATGCATAAGTGCACAGGCTACATCCAGCTACGTGACTGTGTGGCATTATCTGTGCTTGTCAAATGCCAGCTAGAGAGATTTTTATAAACAAGACAATATTTGATTCAACAAGCAGCTTGTCTCACCTCTGTTTGCTTAAGCATTCAGTTACCAGCAGGGAATATGTGAAAGGAAACATTATTGGCTTCAAGATGTTACTGCGCTCACACCTACAAATGCCAGTGGGGTCACCAGAACCTGACACTGAAGGTTTGTATTTTACAGCTCATGCAAGACGGTCTATCCTCACCTGCCCACACTAACAGAAGCAGCCTCAAGCAAAGGAGCAAGTTGGAAAGGAGGAGAGAGGAAAGCCAAGGGTCTGAGAGACCTGCCTACCATCAAACACGCTGAATCCTTAGTCTCCTCAGGACTAAAACTCAATCCTGATTTACTCCCTGTTGTAGTAACTCCAGAGCAAACCCTGCTCTGGCCACATGGCACTCCCAAAGCTATTCTCTGCACACTTTTAAAGGAAGTGTCATGGAGACTAATACAAAGGCAGCGGAGATGATTAAGACAGGATAAAAAGGCCAAATAGCATCAAATATCTGTTTATAGCTGGAAGTAAAACCCAACTACCACATTACACCTTCCCAGAGGCTTACACAAGAGATTTTGTTTGCTTTCTACCTCCTTCTCTCCTCCATAATCTCCTCTGTAATGTTTGTGTTGCACAAAGTCAAAAACCACCTACATCTAACACTCAAATGCTGTCCTGAATTACAAGCCCAACCAAGCTAAAAAAAAAAGGTAATTACTCTGACGTCTGCTTTTCCACTCTCAACAAAGTTTCTGTTTATGCTGGTGACCAACTGGCTGCACTACAGAGCAGAACTGTTGTTTAGCAATGCCCTAATCCTACCCGTTTAGCTACCTATCAGGACAGGCTCTTGAGGCTACTATGCCTGTTGGAGGCACTCCTGACACATCAGCAACCAGGAGTAAGAAGCAAGACCAGTTTTAAGGTCACTTACATTATTGGAAGACCAGTTTTCAGCAAGAGGAGGCTCAGAGCTGACACATGCTCCCAGAAACCCAGCCCAGCCTTGAAAGGCTGCTCAGGAAGAACCAGGCTATGACAACACTGGCCCCTCAGCCATCAGTTCTGTCTGTACCATGGTGCTCACAGCATTAAAAGTATTTGGCACCTAGCACTCCAGGATCAGTGCTACTGGTATCAGCTGCTGTGCCACGTTCTCACAACTCCCACATCCTTTTGCTGAGCAGGTCCTCCCAAAGCACACACTTAACCTTCCAGAGGGCCAGGCAAGAAAGGGTGAGGTGCTGTGGGCACCAAGCAATGCTCATGCCCCTTCTGTCTCTGTTGTGAGTATTGTCAGAACTTGGCCATCAATACCATACACTGAAGTGCAGCAAAATATAGCTGTAATTGACAAGCACTCCTTATTCTCAAGCACAAAGAAGCTCTCCCTCTGTATTTTATAGCTTCAAGAAAATGGTCTCCTGTATGAGTCAAGCATAGTCAGCTAAGAAACTCTGTGTGTTCTCAGTTGCTTCTTACAGCAAGGCTGACACCTTGCGATGCAACAGAGCAGTCTAACCTGCCCTCTCCTTTATATATAAATATATATACACACGCATCTGTGTGCACATAGTCACCTATAGTGGGTAACAGATCATAAACAGCCCTAAGAAAGAAGAGGCGGGAAAAGACAGAGCCCACATTATGAAAGTCAGAGATCCAGCTCATGAACTGGAAAGCCTAACTCAATTTCTAGCATGACTAAGACCCATCTCTCACTCTCTCTAAACCCCCGTCAGCCAAAGGCCACCAGCCCTAAACACTCTTCTTAAGTACCTTCTCCCCCCACCCACTTAGCACCTTGCTATGCCAAGCACCTGCAAGGGATTTACTTCAGTTCACAGTATCCAGCCTTGTCCTGCCCCTTGCAGTGACCTGCTCTATAGGGTAAGACAAGGAAGGTTTAACCCCTTCCTGCTGCCTGTATGTGTCTGATGAAAAGTAAATCTGTACCAAGCAGGACAATCAATAAACCTGTCTGAACATCATATTCAAAATAGCACATGGAGCCACAGGCAGGCAATTTGCCTGGCTGTGTCCTTATTTTCCAGGACAGGAAAGGCAGGAGAAATATAGGACATTAAGCAACATGTTAAAAATTACATGGCAAGGTCAGAGCTGTAGAGAGAACTGGGGAGGGGGAAAGTAACAAAAACACTGCAGGGTCAGTTCTTGTTGTTCCTGCCTCCTGCAACCCATCAGCCCTCCAGGTACCCACCCATAAGGGTCACTGCACTAAGCCAGCGGAGCTGTGTGCAGCCCTGCTGCCTCCACAGCACCTTTTCCTTGCTTTTTGGGCTCAGGACATCCATCCACCAGCACGTCCCTGGGACCAGGCTGCGACAAGGAGCATGCAAGCACCAGAGGGCACCAGGAGCTCAGCCCTGGTAAGCCACCAGCTCTCTCCTGGGAGTCTCTCCTGCCACCACTGGAGGTCTCTGCTAAGTCACTCACCTGGGGAAAGCCGGGGGAAGAAGCTGTTTTAACCAAGCTGGAAGATATCACAAAACAGTATCCATTCTTGTGGAAACTCTACTGGAAAATATTCAAGACAAATGTTAGTCATTTCTGGTAGGGGTTTGGGGTTTTTTTCAGTCATGTATTCCTTTACTTCTGATTTCATTCCAATTCAGAACAAAAACACATTTTGAATTGTGACTCTTTCTCATAGACAGAAATGTGTACCCTTCACAACAGCCCTCCAGACAAATGACCACATGGCCACCATTCCTGTGTCTCAGCTCCTGACCCTCCTGTATGATCCAGCAAGTTCTCTCCTCCTTTATGAGTATCTGCTGGTGACTTGTCAAATGAATAAAAGTAAATATCTGCCTCCATAGCTGTCTTCATGCTAGAACAACAGTTTATATGGAACTAAGTGGGATGGACTGATGTTACTGTTAAAGCTGATTTAAACCTAGACATGGAAACTGAGTAATGTCTGCAAAAGCTATTGCCAAAAAGATTTAACTGCTAGTGAAAAAAAAAAAGTGTCTCTAATTAGTGCTGACTTAGCCTCCTTACTATAATGATTCTTCAGTCTGTACTGTAAATCTTTCTGTAGTGCTTGTTTATCCTCTAGTTTTATATACTTACATTATACATCTAACAATACATTGCCCTTTGACTTGCCAAGAAAAAGTCCTTCCCCATCCCTAGAATAAAACATTGCTTGGCAAGAGTCCCTAAGTGTCTTGAGAACATAGTCTAAGAAAAAGTCACAGTTAGCAAATCAGACATTGACCAATAACTCACAAAAATTAGGAAACAGCCCAGATTGGACAAGTTCAGAAAAAACTGAGCAACTGAGGGCTTTCAGAAATTGGCCACTCAGGGCCACCTTCAGTCAATCCTTGTTGAAAATGGGAAATGACTTCTCAGTGGATTTGATCGAGATTTGAGTCACCAATTGATTTTTAATTCTGGGCAGGGTGTTCTGTGTCACACCCTTCTAACACTGATGCCTTTGCAGGGCAGGAACTCACTCGGCTCTCCCACACCCAAAGGTGGCTTCACAAGCATGCAGCACCTTCACAGCAGAGTAACTTTGCTATAGCATGATAATGCAAAGCAGGGAAGAGACCACCTGAGTCCCAAGCCTGTGATCCCACAGGCCACATGTCTGCACTAAGGGCCAGGGCTGGATTCTGTAATGTAGATACTACTTTGACAGATGCAAAATCCAAAATGCTTTTGTTGTAACTCCAGCAACGCAAAGGAAACACTTACCTGTATGTGTAATGGGCTATCACCATGTAACAGAGCTATCTGAAATATTTCCCAAGTGTTGTCTTATTAATTCACCTTTATCAATAAATTCAATGGGCTCTGGAGTTATGATGTGGGATTTGGCCATTTCAGCCATTTTATTTGCTAACTTTAGGCAAACACCATTTGGAAACATTGTGTTCTGCAAAATGCAGACTGCACAGTGACTGTTCCCCACAGCCAGCCACAGCCTTAATATAACAGCAAACATGGCCCTTGGACAACCCTTTTACATGTATTTCTTCTTAGTTTAAAGTTTCTGATCTTGCTACCCCAAAAGAGATGGCACAGTTGACTCTTAACACTGAGCAGCCTGGAAGATACACTCTCAATTCTGGCAATACTTGAGTGTGGATCCTATAACACAGTCAACAGGTACCAGAGCCAGTTTAATGTGTGTGCTCGCCAGGTCAGTCCTAATGTATCCCAGGTATTCTCTGACTCCCATGTCACTGTACTGGGAGAAGGTCTATGCCATGATTAACTGCCTTCACTGTACAGCTCACACTGCACTCTGAATGTCATGGCAGCTGTCTACATGCAACAGAGCTGAAAAGCAGAGAGGAGCTCTGGTAAATATTAGACAACTTCGTAAGGAGAGATCTCAGCTTGGGGCAAGCTGGTGACCTGCAAGGGGCAAGCTAGATAGGGACAGGTAACTAAAATATTTAATTTTTTTACGACAATGCTGCAAATGTTCCCTTAATAGTCTCTTTTGATTTAAATGCTTATTCAGAACTTCAAGACACATTGATGGTTTTGCTCTTCTTTCTACCACAGGTAAATCTGACCTCATTACCCAGCATGCTGGTTAGAGACACGATACTGAGGACAGTACTACTAAAGCTGAGACATGAACTCCAAAACTTCTCTAGTGAAAGCTGGGCAACCTGGTTCCAGCAGCAGCTGCCCTTATTGCTGCCTGCTATGAACAAAACCTATCTGGAATGGCTGGGGACCAACATCTTTTGTGATTCCTATCAAGCAATGTGAGTTTACCATGACTCTTAGGGTTATGGCAGCACTGCAGTTAAAAGCTAGTGTTTCAGCTGAGACCGCCACATTTTTGATTTCTAAGACAGAAGGACTGAGCTCTGACTCCCTTGCTGTTCTTTTTATTAGCTCAAACCAAACACTGAACCACTAGGCAGGAATTGCACAGACATCTTCCAGGTCACTTAATTTGCTTGTCACTGTTGGAAAGCTGTGAGCAAGTCCCACATATTCCAAAACGTTTTTCTGTTCATATAAATGGAAATATTCATGAGCCTCTTCTGTGAAGTCCAATTAAGAGATTGACAGCCTCAGGCACCACCCAGGCCATGCAGACGGTTGGAAACAATGGGTCAGCTTCCTTAAAACTCCAAACAAATGCAGTTCCTTTCTGAAAATGTCCTCTTATTTCCCAGAGTCAAAGGATTCAACATTGCTTATAAGTCCCTTTCACCTTCCAACAAAATCGACATATATAACAGCTACATTAAAACCTGCCTGAGCCAACAATCACATTCAACAGGTAACAGTGCCAAGGGAGTAGAATAACTCTAAAGCCCAAAGGATAAAGAGTGATCAGAGAGTTTGTTTCCAGTCAACAAAATATCAGTCATGGGTTCCTACCTTCACTCAGCTATCCATGTAGCTGGAGCTGACTTCACTAAGCAGGATTAGAGCAGGTCCAGACTTGATTTAGTCTCCCTGGAGCTGGTCCTGTCTGTGGGTCCTACTTGCACTGCAGGGGGATATTTCCCAGAGTTAGAATTGGCTCTGATATAGTCTCTTAATTCAACAAATAATCTAAAACAGTTAACACCCACCAGAATGGTGTCCTACTTCTGTGCCTTTCATTAGCATCATCATGGCTGCCCTGAAAGGACATAGGTTGTCTTAGTTCGTAACATTGCCTTGTCAACAGACCTGGAGTTTTTTTCCTCTTTCTAGGGATTGCCTGTGACATCCAAAGAGGATTAAGAAACTAGATTGACGTAAATCTTGGGAAATTCATATGACAATCATCCACGCAAGATATGGTTTGCTTCAATGCCAAATTTAAGGTATTGAGTTGAAAGTCTGTACAGAGTGATCAGCAACACCATAGTTCACTCTTGGTAACAATGTGCTGTACTGGGCTTCAGAGGAATTAAAATTTCCTACACAAAGGCCAAATCACAGCCCAAGATGTCTTGAAATTTGCCTCCAACTACCCCATCAGGGTCACCAATATATTCACAGGCCTTAATCCAGAAGAAATTAACCTAACACATAGTAAAACTGAGCACTGCTGCTAGCTCTGCCTTGGAGACACCACCACCTCTGTACAGAGCAGGGCCAGGTTCTTGTACAATCCTGCCTGCATTTTGCCTGGAAACAGCTAACAAGATCCAAGCACTGCTGTACAGCTTAGAAGTCTCTATTATGTAACTACTGAATGAGCAACTCCACATAATTTTGTATGAACATACCTAATTCTTGTATTCTTATTTTTCTTGTGTAGGAACTAAGTGCTCAGAGCCTGAAAGACCTGCTGGGACCTAATTTTGGGTTTCACCTTGAAGCAGGATATTCACAACAGCCACCAGCAGGTGAGTGAAAGAGGACTTAGGGGTTACCATCAAGTTTTCCCGAGTACTGACACCCTTGTATTTGTTTAGAATGCAAACAAATTCCAGAAGTCTTACATCTGCATAGCAAAAGTATAAAAAAAGGTTATTCTTTGTCTGTCTGACAGCAGGTCTCTCCCACCATAGAGAAAATAATAGATTATCACATAAAAGAAAGGATGTGCCAGATTTTGCAGTAGGATCTCCTGGCATACACTCTGCTGCAAGCTCAGTATCATTGCACAGAATACTACCTATAGGGTCAATTGGAAAGTCACGCTGGGTCACACTTAGTTTGCTGTGACGGAGCAGCAGGACTGTTACACACCATATGTTCCCCAGTGCTTTGCACAACCTAATTGTAACCAACTTTACAGATGACCTTCACTCCTTCCCTTGGGAGTCTACTCCACTAGTAAAACATTTCCAAATGGGCTTATGGGAAAGCTATCAGGAGGTGGAATGGTTATTCCAGACCCTTGAACAGATCATTGTCTCTGTGGATTCAGAACTGATTAGGTGCCTTAATACTTATTTCAGCGCCTCCTGTAACCGGAAGAGCAACAACATATATGAAAAAACACACGTTTCAGATTTTTTACTGTGTTCTCCCCCTCTGGCTACTAAACACTGTTTTGTAAGATTATATCCTACCCCTAAACAATAATGTATTCTAGCAGAGAGAAAGCTACACAACACTTCAATCAACAAGGGTGTTTACTTTCTTCAGAGCTCATCGCTTATTAAAAATAATCTAGAGGTAAAATTGCAGGATTTTAAAGTCATATAGAAATCTGCGGAGTCTGGTGTATTTGTTGGTAAAGTATGCTGTCTGGAGCCCCATCTTCACACCTTAACCAGAGCTTTTGAAGCTGCAAGGACAAAACCCAACAGTGCCTTCACGATCAGGCCCTAAAGACTACCAGTTTCTTCTCACATTCTGCCTACAGCTATGCCAAGAAATGACATGCATCTCTGCTTATTAACAGCACACTGCACATAACACTTTCCATCCAGGTACCCAAGAGTACTTCTACAAACAGTGCAAAAACTTTTTTTTGTTAAATAAAGCTCCTGTTAATATGTATTACGTTGCATTCTGTAAGAGTCCAAATTTGCAAGGCTTTCCTTGAAACACCACTGACATAGGGAAATCTCCAAGCAAGCTCTGCAATCAAGAAGATGCCAACTTCTGAAGCAGACAGCACTACAGCCTTACCAGCAACCTTGAAAAATTGTTACACTGCTTTCTCCAGTACTTCTCATGTAAATAGAACTGTTTCCTTCAAAGAATTAATCATTTCTCACACTGAGCTTTGAAATTCTAATACACAAAACATCATCCATTTGTATGAACACCACAAGCCGTTCAGGGAGGATTTACAGCCTCAAATCCCTATGCCACGTGGGCAGGAACCTCACCAGCTGCCACCCTGATGGAACAGCAGTCCCAAGAAGGGTGACGGGTATCCAAACCAACCCCCCAAGTTCGAGGGCTTTGAGGTCTTACTCTCTGCACGAACATGAAGAAACCCAGCACAGGCCTCACACTCTTTACAAGGCCTAGGGCCACGATACCCCCCTCTCTATAGTGCCTACACCCTACCTCAGCCTAATACACCTTCCACCGCAGCCTATAAATCAACAAATGCCCTGCAGGCAGCCTGCCGGCGGAGTGCCCTGCCTCCAGCTCCTCGCCCGCCATCATGGCCTCCCCTCCTCACAGCCCGCCCACAACGCTCCGCGCATGCGCGCTCGCCCCTCCGCTCTGCCCTGCACATGCGCGTCTCCGCCCCCCGCCTTCCTTTCCGGCAGTGTGGCGTTTGCCCTTTTACGACAGTGTGGCAGCCTCCGCCCCTCCAGCGGGCTGCCGCGCTCGGCGGCGGCGCGGCCGGCATGGCGTCTCCCTTCAGCGGGGTGCTGCAGCTGACGGACCTGGACGATTTCATCGGGCCCTCCCAGGTGGGTGCCGGCCGGGGGTGGCCAGGGTTGGGGCCGGGGGACAGGCCGCGGCCCTCTGACGGGGCGGCCCGGCCCCGCCCTCCGCCCCGGGAGCCGCGGGGTCGGCCCTGCCCGCGCCGCCCGGGGAGGGTGAGAAGATGGCGCTGAGGGGAGGGAGGTGGGCGACAGCCCTGGCCGTGCCGCCGGACGGGTCGGCAGCTCGCGGGCTGGCAGCGTGAGGAAAACGGCACGGCGGGGGGGCACGGGGGCAAAGGGGCCAAGGGCGGCCCTGTCAGACGTCCTTCGGGTGCTGTTAAATACAACGGTGAAAGGGAAACAGCACGGAGATACCTCGCCGTCTACTTCCAGCCAGCGCGCAGGGAATAGAGAGGGCGGCAACGCTGAGGTGCAAGCCTCTGTAAGCAGCTGAAGAGAAAAACCTTCGCCCAGCAGCCGTTCGGTCGTTCCCACCCCGATCTGGAAACTGCCCTAGTAAATGTTAATCTAGACCCCCCCCAAAAAAAAGTTTAAGCCTAAACAAGTTTCCTTGCACACTGCTCATCCACACTCGTGCCAGCGTACAGGAGCAGGTGGCAGAGAGGTGGGAATGAGCAGCAAGGACGGGTCAAGACTGTTCTTTTCAGAGTCTTCAGGCGCTAGCAAAAGTACAAAATAGTAATCCCAGATGTATTTGCTGACAAGTACAGCAGAAGAACTATCCTGAAATGAGATCAGTGGAATGGAGCATAGCAAACCCCATTAACTCTCCTTGCAGTACGTGGGGTTCCTAGCAAAGTCTTTCACATAAATAACGCGACCTGCTTTTCTGTTTCGAGTAGAGATCATGGTTTGTTTTATTCAGTGAGCATAACTGAAGAATCATAATGACTTGTTCCTGCTAGTCTCCGAATCTTGCAAAATGTAGTAAAGCTGGATTAATTTGGGGGGGGGAACCTGAAGATGTTGGCAGAGCAAGGACGGTAAAATGTAGAGACAATCCTAGCTGTAGAAGTAGGACAAGGAGTCATAAGGTGCCTAAACAGTAAAAATTGCACAAAACGCAAACACCCTTGAGACTTCATCATAGAACAATACAGAAGAGTGGAAGCAGTCCATCTGAGGTCGTCAGACTCCTTTCGACATTAAATGAAACTTCATTGGCACTAGCCACATGTTGACTGTGGTGACCACGCCTCCATTGGTTAAAATTTGCAAGGAAGAATGCAGAATCATCTGTAAGATTTTAGCGAGGAGGACTGTGCAGGCAAGCCTCTGTTACTTTCAAGGCTCTGTAAAGCATAGCTGTGTTCTTCAGAAGGAACAGCAACATTGTCCTCTGGTTTTGGTATGATGCTGGAAAAGTGTTCCTTCTGTAAAAAAGGGGTAAGGAGTTTTTGCTTTTACGTTTTCCCTTGGTGGTTATAGATGCCATAAGTAAATCCAACATAGCTTAAGGGAGAGTAAGCGGCACTCACTCTAGAACTAGTGTTTGCATTTGATCATTCTAGTTTCTGTTAAATCTACCTCTTCGTTGCTCATGTCCTCACTTTCGGGCTTTATTTCTCCTTCAGGAATGTATCAAACCTGTAAAAGTGGAAAAAAAGCCTGGAAAAGCAGCAGCTAAGATCAGAATTGAAGCAGATGGAAGCTATTTCCAGATCAATCAGGTATGTGTGATTTTTCTTCATTATTGTGTAAAATATCCAGAAAACCTGAGCGTATTTTTAAGTATTTGAATAGTCTACAGCTATTTAATGCCTCAGAGAGGACCAAGATGTTAGAAAAGGGTCATTATTCCTGTCAGCATTTTCGTATCTTTTTTCCAAAGTCCATCTTTTTAATTACCTGGTTTTATAAGCAGTAATTCCAATTTTGTGTCAGTCCTTTATGCTCTGAAACACTGACATTAATTAGCGATGATTTTCAGTATACGAGCAGATAAGCTGAGAAGTCTATTTTGCCATCAATACTTAGGTATTAGCAGTTCCTAGATTATTTGTGACAATGTCTTTTCTTATTGCATTATGTCATACAGCAGAGTGCTCACTTACAAAGAGATTCAATTAGATACTCTTACATTTTGCCCTGGTTTTTTAAATAATATTTCAAATTATTTGTTAAATAGCCTACAGAGTTCATGAGCCTCCTGCTTCCAAAATCAATGCCAAGTTTTGCAGAACAATTTTCCAGTTTACAGAGAAAAGGTTAGCATTTCTTAGTTAACCAAGCCTGGAATGCGTCTAGAAATGGTGCTTTTAACTTTAGCCAGATGATGACCTTTTGACTTAAAAAAGGGGGATACAGCAGTTCCAAAGGTGTCTCATTTCTTATTTTAAAATTTTAATTTAGTAGTACCTAATTGCTCGGTCTGATTCTGACTTTATTGAGAAATGACGTTCAAGAGGAGAGTCTCAAGGGAAAACTGACTTATTCAGGTCAAATACTACGAAAAATATTTCCTTCCAGTGGCAAGCCACACACTGTCTTTGATATGTTGCCATACAGTTTTCCCATCAGTGTCCACGTAAGTTTTGCACACAGAAAGATTGCAGAACACTCACTATCAATTAAAAATGTTAGCAAGCTTATAGTCTGGTTACACAATCTATTTAGAAGGATTGAAGTTCAAGTTCCTGTGAAGAAACAGCGCCGGTACTATTCAATAACATGAGCAGCATCTGATAGAGGTGACAAAGCTGGCATGCTTTCTCCAGGGTAATATTCAATGTGCACTGGAGATTGGTGATTAAAGGCTTAGGATCATTGTGGTCTACAGTTTTGTGGTTAAAATAGCAGCTACAATCAGTAGCATGTTAGCCATGCTAACCCAGTCTTCAGCCATCCACAAGTTGAAAAAACAAGCAAGATAGGCCCTATTTGCTTCTGGGATAGTATAATTTCAGTGTTTTGGAGCAATGTTAGTCCACCAGATAGCACAAATAGTTGTGGCCTAAGCAAATGTTCTGTATGTAATGAAAGTTATGTTCCTGGTCTTGCTAAAATTTTCCTGAAGTTCCTCAGCATATTTGCATCTGCATGCCAAATAATCCTATTAAAACCAGCAAACTTCAAAGATACTTGTCTTCCTCCTCATCTTTCTAAAAATAAAAGATACTTTTTTTTAATGATAAACCAAGAGCATAAAAAGGGCAACATCTTTGTTACTAAATATAGTAAAGGTGGGAAAACTGCTACCTAATTCTACACTGTGATCAGACTGAGTCTAATCTGTTTCTTTGTAGGACGGAGGAGCACAAAAACTGGAAAAGGCTAAAATTACTCTGAACGACTGTTTAGCTTGTAGTGGCTGCATTACATCAGCAGAGAGTGTTTTAATCACTCAACAGAGCCACGAAGAGCTCTGCAAAATGCTAACTTTTAACAAGGTAAGTGACAAGTCATGGCTAGGTAGGCTGCAGAGTTTGAAAGTCTTAATAGATTGGTATGATGCTTCTGCAGAAGCACGTGTGGAAACAGTGCACATAAAAATTAGTTTCAGAGATCCGAGGACGTTCTCGGTGCACTGTTGTGTTTTTTTCCTATTTTTAAAAAGTAATCATGGGTTTGGAAAGGACCTTTCATGTAGTAAGTTACTGACTTCAGAGTTAAGCTGGGAGACACTTTCTGATGCTCTAGTGTGCTGAAAGTTCTGCATGTGCCATACTAATATTGTCTGAACAGTGTTTGTTTTTTTCCAAAGACTGCCACTCCCAATGAACAGAAATTGGTGGTGGTTTCTGTTTCACCACAATCCAGAGCTTCACTAGCTGCAAGATGTAAAATGGATGTTCTGGAAACAGCAAAGAAGTTGACTGCATTCTTAAAGAGTTTAGGCAAGTGTGGTATTGCATTCTGTTAATCACAGAGGGGACTGCTGGGGTATATGTTAAGCACAACTGTTATGAGCGCACAAGGTTGATGCGATTTAACCTCCTCATGGACTCATAATGTTTCACAGTTGGCATTAGCTAAAATGCAAACTGTCTGCAACTTCAGTCACATAATAAACTTGCAGTGATGGAAGGAAGAAACTTTAAATTTCGGATTTGCAGTCCTCCTGTCAGTTTTGCTCGTCTTACTGTGCTGATGTGTTAGGGTAAAAGGTTCAGTCTCAACTGCAGAGATTGATACTTGTAAATAAGATGTGCAGTTTGAATCCGGTTTGATTGGAGGCTTTTTGTTGTAGTTTGCCGTATCTGTCTTGTGAATTTTAACACAGATGCTGTACTGCCTAGGTGTGCACTATGTTTTTGATACAACTTTCTCAAGAAACTTCAGCCTACTGGAGAGCCAACAAGAGTTTGTAAAACGCTTTCGAAAGCAATCTGAAGACAAAAAGGCTTTGCCAATGCTAGCTTCTGCCTGTCCAGGTATAGTATTAAATTAGTTATGGAAGTAATAAAATGGCATACGAATAGTACACTAGAAAATTTAAATGGATAAATTTACTTAGAGGCTTACTCTCTTCACAATACAAAGAGATCTTGGTGTTAATAGCAGTAGTGATCTATACAGTTACTTAATGATCTCTAAAACACTTCCTTTGCTTTTTGTTACACTTCCTTTGCTTTTGGGGCTGAAGTGAGGCTGAAAATGGTTATTAATGGGTACTAAGCCTGGGGTTGGGGTGATGGTGGGCAGAGTGAAGGGCCGCTTGTTATTTTTTAAATTTAATTTGCTAATTACACTCTTACCAGGTTGGATCTGCTATGCAGAGAAAACCCATGGCAGTTTCATAATTCCTTATATCAGTACCACCAAGTCTCCACAGCAGGTCATGGGGTCCTTGATTAAGGGCCATTTTGCAGAACAGCAGGTAAGGGTCTGAAGCATACTATGCTTAATGGCAAACTGCTAAAATTGAACACTTTAACCTAATATTTTTTTTATTTTGCTCCATATTATACATTAGAGTTTAAAGGTAAAAATTATCTTGCAGAAGCCAGCAAAGGCATTATCTTTCTCACTTTTATTTTATCTAACAAGAAGTTAGCAACTAGGGCAGTAATGCTAAGCACATGCTGCATGGACTACTTAAAACCTCTGCATGTTATTTGGAAAGGCAAGAGAAACTTATTTTTCAGTGTCTTTGTGCTCTCATCTTGTCTGTGTGTGGTATTTTCATGTTGTTTAAAGTTGGTGAATAACTTAAAATAAATTATCCTAAGACAAAACTTCAGTCAGCACATACGTGCAGATCATGTCTTGTCTAAAAATTACTTGCTCGTTCCCAACTTAATGTTCTGTTTCAGTTTGACTTAGGTCTGTTCTCAGTCTTTAACCTTTGGAATCTTTCCAAATGTAAATTTGATATTTGAAGACTAGAGTTATACTGATAGCCTAGATTTGTCCAGTAAGAAACTTAAGCACCAATTCTGCTTGTTTGATTTATTGTCCATTAATGAGCAGTGGTTTAACACTTGCATTAAGTAAATGCTGACATCTGCATACTTGTTACAAAAATTGGCAGCTACTATGAATGTTTGGCACAAGATACTGAAACAATGGCCTTGAGTCAATGACTTGTTTCCTCAGCCTGTGCTTATTTCTTGGATGGTCATGAGGTTTTTGTGTGACTCCAGATCATTTCTTAGTTGCTGATGCAGGGGCTGGGGTTTAGTATTATGAAGGAATTATATTCTCTAACTGCATAATTAGGAATTCACCTCACTGACTGACTGTGTCTTCATCATCTGCACTAGCAAAAGGAGGTGGAGGGGAAACCAGTAAAAGACCACACTACTGACACTTGCTACAAACTAAAATTGGGTTCTATGAGAGAAATAATTTAATCTATATATAAATGTATGTGTGTGTATATATATAAAAAATAAACATTCACTAATAGTGGGGAGTATTTCCAGAGGCATGGTGACATTGGTTTCATCATTCTTGTTCATACCTGGAAAACACCTCCCTCAAGATAGGTTTGATACTGGCCAATCCAACTGCACAGCTTTGTCTTTCTTCCAGCACTTAACACCTGACCAGATATACCACGTAACAGTGATGCCCTGTTATGACAAAAAGCTAGAGGCTTCAAGGCCGGACTTTTTCAACGAACAGTACCAAACTCGTGATGTGGACTGTGTAATCACCACAGGTAAGCAGAGCCAGAGGTAGTCCAGCTAATACCTGGAAGCCTCAGAGCAAGGTGTTTGCTACTTTTAATAACCCTTTGCCTCTAATAGAGGGTGTAGTGTATGGATATTGCTGTATAATTACACTTTAATAATGCAGCTCATGTCCTGGTAAAAATTGCAGATGCAGTCTTATATACTGATCTATGGATTTTGTTCTCCTTTATCCCCAAAATAAGAACTTTTTATGTCTGTGGTTCTGTTTTAGGAGAAGTGCTAAAGCTGTTGGAACAAGAAGGAGTATCTCTATCAGATGTAGATCCTGCTCCGTTGGATAACATGTAAGAACAATATCTCATCTGCATCTTCAGTCATGTTCTTTTTCATCCAGTATTTATAGATTTCTTCAACAGAATTTGCCTTTCCACTACTGTTCTACACAATTTGCATGTGTTTGCGTTTGATTTGTGTCACTGAATCAGTACAAATGTGCATTAAAATACTTAATCTACAGAGTATTGATGAATTTCCACTTTTGGAGAACCTGTAACTATTTGTTCTAGATTTTAGTCATCCAAGGATTAGCAGCTCTCACTGTAAATCAGCAGGATTGCTAGAATTAGCTCTGTAAGAGTGTAACGGCAAAATAATTGTGCAGAGAAGTACAAATTGCACGACAGTCATTTACTTCAGTTACTGTCACTTGCAGTATAGCTGGTGGAATCCCACAAAAATCTACCTGCAAACTTTGAAAAGTGAAAAAATCTAGATCAGTGATAAAAGAGTTTGCTAAAACAAAGCCTGTTACTGCACTGTACTCAGTTTGCTTGTCTCTGTTGCTAGCTATCAGGGCTACTGTAAGGATTCCAGAATTAAAGCATAAATAAGAAATATTTAGGTCACTCAACTAATCTCTAGGAGTCTCTGTTTGTAAAAAAAAAAAAAAAAAAAAAAAAAAAAAAAATCTAAAACATGTGCAAACCAGATGAGACTTTAGTTGCTTCAACTGAAAAGTAACATCTGGTTAAGTGACAACTGCACAGAGATCTAAGTAACTACGGAAACATTAAAATCACATTTTACTCGTCTAAATTGACACGCAGTGGTGGTTCCGCACTGAACGCTAAACCAAAGCATTCTTTTCTTCAGTTGAAAAGAAATGTCTTTGTAGAACTTTGCACATTAATAAACAGAAAGTCTACATGCGTGGCAACCTTTAAAAATTATAAAAGATGATAAAGTGTATGATTCAAAAATTTATAGCTCAGACTCCTTAAGTTTTTAGGAAAGATTTTGATACCCCAAATATGCAGCATCTAGCACATGATTAGAATGTGACACTAGTCTGTTTTCAGCTGTACCCCTTGCAGATGTGACACTTTTGTTTTGAAATTTGGTTTATTTCTAAATAGCCTTCAAGTCTTTCTAGTACAGCCAAGTGCCATTGGCTGCCTTTGCTCAAGAATTGTCTCATCAGCACATGTATGTTGACAGCTATGAAGGGAAGTGTCCTTACGTGCAGCCTATTTCCTAAATTAGTTTTAATTGTTATAAACTTAGGTTACTCCTGTGCTTCTGAAAAGGAGAATGTGAGATAGAGACAGTCTATTGCTGTCCAATCCCTTTCATGTAAGGGATACTTAATTTAAAAAAAGAGATTTAAAATAATATGCGTGCCCAGAGCCTCAGTTTCTGCCTGCTACAGTTCAGAGGATCAGTAGGTTGTAGGTTTCACATAACACATTTACTAGCACAGATCTATTTATGCACACTTTTTCCAGGATTAAGTATCTTTTTCTGACATAGCGTATGCACAGATTGCTTTCAGATCAAAAAAAGAAGAGTATCCTCAGCTGTAGTAAATGTCTGCATGATTGAGTTCCAAAAATACAACTTCAAAAGTTGCCCATCTAAACAGGTACTTCTGTTCTATCTGCTTTATTGTTACACCCCTAACAGAAAATTGAGGAGAAAAAAAGATTCTGAAGTGTTTGGGTTCCCTTAGGAAATGACATTATGGAAGTGTCAGTTATAACATAGAACTGAATGTCTAATTACTTGATAAAAATCTCTGGCCAACTTCTTAGGAGTAGATTCTGAGCACCAGGCCTCATGCTTGTGGTGATAAAGTGCCTCTATAACCTTTTGCTAGCTTTAACATACTCAGTAAATTGACTGGTTACAAACGGCACGTATTCCTCAGAACTTGGAGCGTTCACATAAGCAGTCCAATGGCTGTTGTTCTGCTTTATCCTCCAGCACGTGGAAAAGCCCATTAAGAGGTTATTACATTTGGCAGCAAGAATGAGATAAAGCGCCAGAAATCCCAGGACTTTTGCTGGTATAACCGTTTGCTCCAGGCCAGCACTGAAGCTTACTGGCAGCCTCATTTTAAGAGAATAGCAGTACGTGAGGCCAGACACACTGAAACATTTTGTTAATGAAGCTCAGTTCCTGTAAACAAGATCAAATTAAAAATAGTTTGAGGGTGATTGCAGGCTAAAGTGTTGCCTTCTGCAGTTCTTCCAAAGCTAAGATTTTATCTGCAAGAGGCAACATCTTCGATTTGACTTGAAACTGTTTGGCCTGAATTCAAGTGTTTTCCCTTCTGCAGCTGCTAGTAGGAGAATGCAAGTGTCACTGCCTGATGAGTGCTTATAAGCAGATCCCTCATCTTGTTGCTTTCTCATAACAAAAGCTATTGTTGTGGATTCCATCTGGTGAGCTATTCTCAGGAAACATTATCTTGACCTCTGAATAGTTGGTTGTGTTTTGGCATGTCAGTGAGATGGAATTATTTGTGCAGAACTAGAATTACAGAACGTACGTTAACATAGTTGTTCAACACCAAAAATGTGTTGAACTTGAACCAGGATCCCACCAAGGACAGCCGTGTACGGAGCAAATGTCCTGGCATCGTTAGATTTGTTCACCTTTGTTACATAACTTTAAGCACATGAAACCACAGCAACATGGATTTAATCTCTCTGGGCTTGTGATCATAGCACTGATACCTCCCTGAAGTGTTCTCTCATGTCCCAGCAACCACATCTAAAGTAGCTGGTGTCAAAAATTGTGTCATAACACAGAACTAGAGCTTTCAGTAATGAACTCTGCTTTTGTTGATGTTGCAGAAAAGGTTTAGCACAGATGAGATGTCTCTTGGCTGAGACAGGACTTCTGCTAGGTTGTGTTCTCCAAGAGAAGCTTAGGCTGCACAGACCCATACCACCATTGCTTCATTATTTCCCTCCTCCCATTTCCAAGTGTAACCCAGGATGTTTGTAGAGGTATTAAACAGGAAGCTAACAAAATATGCATGTCAGATAATTGCCCTTGTAACTCAAACATTCCCAAACATATTTTTGATATGTGAAGATTTAAGTTGGCAGTGCATGGGTCAGGCCTTGTGGCACGTGACAGTATTTCCACTGAGCTTGACCCAAAGGATGCTAGGCAGCACAGGGTTAAGTCTGCTGGGCTCTGAAGCTATAAATAGTTGGTTCCCAGGAGAATGGGAAAAGCTAGGAGCTCAAAGGGAGCTGGTCTGTGGCTTGTTCTGTTGCTTTTGAGTCCCCTGGACCTTTGCATTTGTGCTGGTTGTTCTGCTTTAACAAAGATTCCCCCAAAACTGCTTCCTTCTTCCCTTCCCCCAGGTTTAGTAGTGCTGCAGAAGAGGAGCTCACTAGCCACTCAGGAGGTGGTTCTGGTGGTTATTTGGAGCACATATACAAGCATGCAGCCAAAGAGCTCTTTGGAATTCAAGTGGATACAATTCAGTACAAACCTTTAAAGTAAGAAGTTTAAAGTCCTACAGAAATCACTATTTTTATTGCTGTTCTGTTCATGCTGTTATCTTGCTGATAGGCTGAAACTTTCTTTGCAATGTTAAATATTTTACTTAAAGGCATGGGAATTGGCTCCTCACTCCCACAGTTGCTGAGCAATAAATCAGCCAGCGCTCCACACAGCCTTTCCCTTGGAGACTTCTGGCCCCTTCACCACCCACACACTTTCTTTTGGCCTGATGGATTTTCTCAGTATCAAGTTGCAGACAATTTCTAGAGTAATTTAGAAGACAGAGCTCACATAGATCTAGGCTTCCTCACCTGCAATCAGACCAATAAAGTAGATTTCTTACCAATCTAACTATCACCAAATAGAAAATCTTGCGTCAGGGCTTTGGGGCTCTGTTTTAACTATGTTGTGGTAAGACAGAAACCAAGTCACTTGAGCTTAGGCATGGAAGCTCATTCAGCTGAGATTACTTCTTGCTTCCCAGTTATAATATTAAATGTATCCTTTGTAATGAATTATATCCCTGATTAGCAATATTTATGTTTAGGATTCTCTGGTCTAGAGAATCAGTCTAGAAACAGTCCCCTTGAGTCTCAATATGAAATACTTGATAAAAATCAAATTACTTACTCTTTTATCAGGAACAGGTATTTCCACTAACCTTAGGGGTCTGGAAGCCTTCAATAATGATTTGCTCCCTGGTTTTATGACCCACTGCAATTTAAAAGTTTCCTCAGTGGCCTCACTAATGTATGAGTTGGCTGAAACCAACTCAGAAGGCCTATCACAATGAAACTTTTGTTTAGGCTCCATTTGCTTAGCTTTTAAGGATTTATTCAACACAGGTGTTCTTCAGCAAACTCAGTGCAGGTGGCAGGTCCTCAAACAAGAGTGGAAAAGGATCTGTAAGCTAGTTCCTTCATCTGTTTTGTTTGGGTGGCAAAGAACTAGGACAGCTTTCTTGAATAAGATTTCACAAAGAACTTTGTTTTAGCACAGGGCTCTTTGAAGTTTAAAATAGAAGTTAATTTGGATAAGACATTTTCTCTGCTCTTGTTCCTCAGAAACAAGGACTTCCAGGAGGTGACACTGGAGAAGGATGGAGTAGTCCTGCTCCAGTTTGCTTTGGCATATGGGTTTCGAAACATACAGAACTTAGTGCAAAAGCTGAAACGAGGGAAATCGCCCTATCACTATGTTGAAGTCATGGCCTGCCCATCAGGTAAGACTGCACAGGGATTTCACTGTTAGAATCCATAGCTGTAAGAAGCTATATGAAACTATACCTAAAACATAAGAACAATGGGCAATTTCTTACATCCTGAATGTTGTGGCAAAGCCTTCAAACTCTTGAGATGCAATAATCACAGCATCCAAATTTCAAAGTTGTTTGTGTGTATATTTTCCTACCTAGAAGTAAATTCTTCAGGATTTAAGTAATTACAGTTAAATTCCATTGCGCAAAACTTGCATAAGTAGTGCTTTTAAGGAGATCCTCCTGGTTTTCCAAGCTCTTTGGTACATGAGGAGATTCTTCCTCTAAAATTACACAAAATTGACTGTTATGCTTTTAGAGAATACTTGCTATGGCTGGTGAAGAAAGTCTCTTTCTGCCTGTTTTATTCCCTTTTCCACTTTGTGCAAGCCTTCCTTTTTCTCCCTCCTGGTTCCCTTCAAATCTGCTAGCAGAGAGCACAGGCAGCTCGAACCCAGCCTGAAGGGATGCTGAGCTGCCACTCTTGGCACTCTGAGCAACCGCTCTCTCCCCGAGGGTCCGTGCACCTCCCAGCCCAGAAGGCTGCTCAGCACCAAGACACTGCTTTGGGCAACTCATAGTGCACCTCCACCCCAACAGCAAACCCAGAACATTATCCCAGGCATGTTTATCTTACCTTCAGTCAAGACTCCAAGGCTGTTCTCACCCAGATTGTGTTCTGCCCCTTTTCTGGAGGCACAAGGTGAGAGCCAGAGCTCCCTGCTGCTTCTTACCTCTGTCTCCCTGGCATGTCCCAGGCTGACTTGGCAGCCCTCTGTCACAGCAGGCTGAACTAGCACTGGGGCGCACTGGGCCAATGATCTTCTCTCTAGGGCTGCAGCCTGCCCTGCTCCTGTTAGATAACTGGGGAGTAAACCACAATTACAATGGTGTTTTCATTTCTGTAACTGTTTGCAGGTGCAGAGTAAATTAACTGTAGTTGGGGGGGGTGTCTGATAAAGCTGAAGTGCTTTCCAAACTTTGTGACATTTTCTCACTTTGTTCCACATAGGCTGTTTAAATGGAGGTGGTCAGATCAAGCTAGATGGTGAATCCAGCAAGGACCAGCTTCAGCAAGTTGAGAGGTTGTATGAGTCTCTTAAGACTGAAATTCCAGAGAAGAACCGGACTGTAAATGAACTGTATGAGCAGTGGCTGGGTGGCGTGGAGTCAGAAAAGGCTGCAAAAACTTTGCATACAGAGTACCACGCAGTGGAGAAAACAAGCACTGGATTTAATATCAAATGGTGAAGATTGACACTGTGAAGCCCAGATACAGATACTCAGTGCCTTTTTAACTCAATTGTATTTAAGGTTCTCAAAAGACAGCTAAAGTTCTGTGCCATCATGGGAAGTTGGCAATTTCTGACTCCCGTTAGGGATGAGAAGGTAATGTGCATATAAGCAGACAATATTAATTCCTACAGCTTTATAATTATTGAAGTGATGTAAGTAAAAACCAAATGCTGACTTAAAACATGTCAAAAGAAGCAGTAATGCATCCTAGCCTCCACACAGTCTTTAAGGACTAAATTGCGCTCCCTTTGCAACCCTGTTCCTACAAGAACTGATGAAATCAAGGTACTGAAGGATTTGGCTTGCAGTAGACTGTAGCCTCTCTGAGATAAGCTTTATGCTACATGACAGTATTACTCATCCAGGCCTTGCTGTATTTTCACAGCGCTAAGTTTTATGGCTGTCTCTGTCGGGACATCCTCATTTAGTTATAAATGGTCTAATTAGACCTTGGTTCTGTTTTTCCATTCCACTGCCCTTGAGCTCCAGCTGCAGTATCTGCCCTGTCAGAGGGGGTGGGTGCTAGCAGCCTGGGATCATGTGAGAAGCATCATCTCTAGGGCTATTTTATTGCCTGCTGAAATGTGACTTGAATGAATGATTAAGAAAAAAAAGCTAGAGTGATTTTTTTTTTTCTTTAATTATAACAATTGTCTATAACTGTGGGCAATTACATCTCTCTTTCTCTCCCTAAATACACAGTAGGGAGTGTCATAGAATTGTCACATCTACCCCATCCTCAACAGCCAATTACTGATGGATAATATCCTTAAATTCAGATAAAACAATTTTTTACAGTGTTTCAAGTAAGAATTTATTGCTAGCTTTCTTTCCAACGAAGGACAAAGTCCTTGGTGTCTCTGAAAGGTGTTACTTTACAAAAGTTAATAGAAGAAGGCTGTGAGATGTAATCATTACAAGCAGTTTATCAGAACAATCCAAGAGGTTAGTAAAAACACATCTGGTTTAATGCAGTGTATTACAATGCCTTGCCAGAAGACAGATGGATGTGAAACAGATTTGGTCTTGTTACTGGAGATGACGTGTGCCCGTCTTGCTATCTGTAATTTTACATACAGGTATTTGCAGAACTATTCACAGAAAAACAACTGAATGAATAACTCTGTTTTGGTCTCTTTAATCTGAATATCGGTTTTCCTGGAGTTACAATGCATATGGGGAGGCAAAGGCAGTAGTGGGAGGATGTGCAGCTGTACCTGAACTCAAGAGGAAGGGACACTGGCAGATGGGGAATCTCTTCTTGTGACCGCTGTAGCTGCAAGTAAATACGAACTTAAGAATCGCATTATTGAATCACTTCAATATTTCTCCTTTTTCCAGTTACTGCTATGTAAGGAAGAAAGGACAGTGCAGAAAGTAGAGTTAAGTGGACGAAAACTAAAAACAAAGCTGCCACATTGCTTTGTTCCTTCAGAGTCAGTACAAACAGGTGGAGCTGGTTACTGCATCTAGCCCAGATTGAAACCTTGCCCAGACCCTCGTCAAAGATAACCCTCACCCAGTTACTGCTGACCTTGAGCTTAGGGCTGTCAAAAAGCAAAGCTGCCAGACCTTGACCTGCCTCTTGTAACGGCTTCTCTGGCAGTACTTGCCTGTGTCCTTCTCAAAGCCTCTTCCAGTCTTCGTTAAAAGTAAGCCAACAGTGTAAAAGATGGGTTTTTTTAATGTTTTTAATTAAAAGCTTTACATTTTTCAGGTGTTGCGGATCAATTAGTGAATTCACAGTGTTCATAAGGCAAGAATCTCCCACTGCTTCCCCCTCCCCACCCTATTCATTTTACAAGCAAGTTGGCAGTTTCAGGGAATGCCCTTTTCCATGCATAGATTTATAACACACAGTGTTATGCTAAACCATAAAATTTTTATCTACAGCAAGAGATACCACTGCTAATGTAAAGTCAGTCCAATACGCTGAAGTGCTGAGACCATAAACTCTGTACATCAGTGCAAAAGAAACACATTCTGTTTCTGTTGAGAACATGCACGTCAGGCCAGAAGTGCACAAATAAATAAAGCTAAATTAGCTGTAGATTAAACAATTGCGGGGGGGGGGGGGGCCCCCTTTTTTTCTCTTCCCCAGTTACCAGGTTACCAACATGCACACCGCTAAAGCCATCAGAGGAGTCTGCGCCCAGAACATACTGAGACCTCACCTGCTACAGACGCTCCCAGGTTTCTGTTCTCGCCATGGTATTGAGAACAGCTTGAATTTCTCCCAGCCTGCATGCTGCTGCATGTTCGCATGAGTGAACTCGGCTCTAGTTCTGGAACCCTCCCCGAACACACACAGGTGCATCTCTGCTCCCAGTATAAATACACTGCCAGAGGAACACCCAGGTAACATCTATGAACTGTACCATCACATTTAAACGGAGTAATTTTGAGGCGACAGTACCGAGGCAACTTGTGCAGCAGGATTAATTCTTCCCCTCCTGTGGGAGGGAGTAAATTCTAACACTATAACTTAACAAAAGGAAAAAAGAAAACCTTAGTCTAGTTTCTAGCAAGGAATAAACAGCCACAAACCAGGCTTCAGTGGTAACAGATGCAGTTCACAGTCCACATGTGAAAGATCCTGAAGTCAACTCTCTTCCAGTGTTAGGAGCTATAAAATTTATAGTCAGCGCTCTTTAAAAATGACAACATACGGTAAAGGATTACAGGACCCGCTCCTCTGCGTTTTCATTTGAACTACGCAGAACGGCTGTAAACTCAGCAGCACCGAGACAGTCGCATGCGCTCTGCGTGTTGAGGTAAAGAAGAAACCAGAGATGTGTGCGACTGTCCCGCACGGAGTGACTCGCCCAAGCCCAGACCCTTCAGAGGGTTTTTCACGGCTACTTACAGAGCTACCATCAAGCCCTACTTTTTCCCCAAAAAAAGAAAACTACTTTGCTGGTTGGTAATGCACCTCCCCACCACTTGCAAATAAAAGCTTTGCACATTTCTGACTTAAATAAAATAAAATACAGTACTAATTTTGCACAAACTGAAGGGTGGAGGCTGCAAGCTGAAGAGGCTTAAGAGACCCAGCTGCTCCCTACCTCTTGTTCTAAAGACAAGGCAACGTAAATATAAGTTTCAGCCAAGTGTTCTCCAATTTTTTATCTTGGGGGGTAAAAAAAAAAAAAAAAGAGAGGCAATGGATGCATAGCAACACATTGTTGTTTGCTGCCTAAAAAACTGTCACACCTTGAAAAGTATTTTACAAAGCTGGGGGGTTAGAGCACGCTTTCCTCCAGGCCTGAACTCCACCTGAATGTACTCTGCACAGTTTCAGTAGTTTGGATGGCTCCCATGCATCAGTGACTGCGTTACAAATCCCTATGCAATTTTTCTACGTTGGCCTACTGTAAAAATAGGTGGGAAAAAAAAAATACCCAAACCCCACTGCAACAAGGGTTTCAGTTAGCCCAGGTCTGGAGCCAGGTAGGTACTGCTGAATGCCAACGAAAACACCAGTCCCCTTCCCGGCTTCCGCTCGTGCATCCAAGTCCCCATGCCTCATCCCTGCCCGCGGAGCCGGGCAGCTCCCTGCCTGCCCTTGGCCCGAGAAGGGCACAGGGATGGCTGGAGCGGAGCAGGCAGAGCCAGGAGGGCTTCCTTCCCCGCCAGCCCGGCCAGGCAGGAGGTCAGCGGGCTGCTGCAAAGCTCTGCTCCAGCTGACCCTGCGGGAAGCGGGATGCAGCACCCAGGTCTGGCAGGATTGCAGGCAGGAGAGCCTTACGGCCTGATGGGTGCCGGCTGCTCTGTGGGGTACAGCACCGCGGTCCCCACCTTTTCCATATTCTCCCCTGGCTCCCGCAGGCAAAGGGCTGCAGGACTGGTGGCAGCTCCTGCACCCACCAACCTGAATGTTGTGAGCGTGGGTGTCCTCTCCTCCAAAACACCTACTGACCAGCAGCAACCGCAGCCCAGAGGCTGGGGTGGGGGGCTTAACTGCTCGCTGAGGGCACCCAGGCGCTCCCTTCTCCCAGGGAACAGGTGCTCAGCAAAGCTCCCGTGGGCCAGGGAAGCCAGGCACGGTGCTGGAGGGAGTGAAGCAGAGCAGCCTCAAAATGAGCAGGTTAAAAGACAGGAACTACTGCCGAGTCTTACAGGAGTTAAGTCAGAGCCAGACAGACGCAGCCCCGGGAGGAGGCCCCCGCCACGATGGGGATGCTGCGTTTTGGGAGCCACCACCGCGGCCGCTCACTTCTTCTCGAGGAAGGGGCTGAAAAGTCCCCAGTCGAACGCGAGCATGGCCTGGGGATTGGGCCGCTCCTTGGGCTTCTTGAAGTTATCCTTCTCGGTGCGGAGGGTCCTCAGCACCTCCACCGGGTCCGTCTTGCCCGTGAACTTCTGCACGGGCTCCTCCCTGCAAGGAGACCAACTCTGCTGTGACCGCGGGGGACAGGATGGGGACCCCTCTCCCTGCTGGGACCCCAGCACATGCTGGGATGGACAACAGGGGAGTCACATCCTTGTGCCGGGTGGCTGCTGGGGGCACAGGGGGCTTGTCTGCAGGTACCCCGTGCTGGGCAGTGCAGGACCCCACGTCTGGGCACCTTCCCCTCCCTCAGGGCTTGGATTTCCCACTGGCTAATGAAGCCACAGGAGAAGGGATGACGCTGGAGGGAAAAAGGGAGCAGAGTTTGGGGGCAGGACCAGCCAAGCTGGGGTCTGCCCACCCCCAGCTCGGTTCGGGGCTGACCCGCGGCAGGGCCCTCCGTACCCCCCAGGTACCGGCGCTGCTTACATGACCCGCAGGAAGGGGTTGTAGAGGAACTCCTCCTGCAGCGTAGAGGGCACCGTGGGCAAGTCCTCATCATCCCGCTGCTGCCGAGGAACCAGACACGTCAAAAAGCCTGCTGGCACCCAATACCTCCTCTGCCCCTGCCCCAGCAGGAACGCAGCCACTTACTTTGGCCCACGCAAGTTTCTTCTTCACTATTTCATTCTCCGGTTCCACTTTCAAGGCAAACTTGAGGTTTCGGACGGTGCATTCATGGCCGCAGAACACCTTCTGCAATGCCAGCAGGAAGCACCCGGCATCACGCGTGCGCCTGGTGCCGGGTCCGACCCGTCCCGGTCCCGCTGCAGCCCCAGCCCTGGGGACAGGCATTCCTTCCCGAGCGGTGCCAACCTCAATCCCCCTCCCGATTTTGGGGTCCCTCCCCAGGCTGGGGCTGAGATGCGGGGCACTCACCGTCTCTTTCGGCAAAGCCCCCAGGATTTGGGTGAGGTTGGTGTACATCTGCTCCGCCGTCCCCTCGAAGAACTTCCCGCAGCCTCCCACGAACAGCGTGTCACCTGCAGGGAAAGGGGTCTGGGCACGGAAGGGACCCTGGGCCCACTCCTGAGGACGGGGTGCCAGGCGGGAGCCCCCAGGTGCTGGATTCACCCCACGAGCGCTGAGATTGGGGGAGACAGGCAGCAAGCAGGCAGCCTGCCCTGTGTCCCCAGTACCCACAGGGTGCACGCCAGCAGGCTGGGATACCTGAGAAGAGAGCCGGAGCGTCCGGGGAGCCGTCCTCCCACATGAAGTAGCACATATGGCCCGAGGTGTGGCAGGGGGTGAAAAGGCACCTCACCCGGATGGCCCCAAACTGCGGGGAGAGAGGGTCAGGACCCCACTGGGGTCATCCCAGCCTCGACAGGCAGCCAGATCCCCCACAGACCTCCCCAAGCCCCACAGCATCGCCTGCCTGGAGCTCAGCAGGTCACCGACATGCCGGGGGACGGTGGTTTGGGCAAGTCCCTGGTTGCATGCGTCTGCTCCGACGGCATTCAGCAGTGGGGCCCCAGGAGAGGGTTGGGTCCCCCAGTGCAATCCTAAACTGGCTGGGAACGGGACGAGGTTTCTCCTCCAGTCCAGCGCTCCATCCCAGCCCCAAATCCACGGTGCCACATCTGCAACCACCCCAGGGCGTGGGAAGCCTGAGAGCACGGCCCTGGCCAGGCACCAACCCCGTCAGCTCCCGGCACAGTGCCACACCGCTGGGGACTGCGCCATCGCCCAGCTCCGCTCCCCACAGGTCCGACACCGCGCCGGCCACGGCCGCCCCGTGGGGCAGGATCCGTGCACGGGGGCTGAGCTCCCACAGTCCTACGGCCACGCACCGTCAGCTCCTGGTTGTGGGTCACCTTGTGCGTCAGGGCCCCGATCCGCTCATCGGCGCCATACACCCGCAGGCCGGGGCAGAGCCTCGCCAGCTCCTCGTTGCCCCTTGCGTGGTCCCTGCGTCAGCAGAAGAAGGAATGGGCACCCTGTCCCGCACCAGGCACGGACACCCCCGGCCCCCAGCTCGCATCGGCAGCGCTTACCAGTGGTGGTGGGTGGTGAGGACCGCTCTGAGCACCACATCCTCTTTCCTGACGATTTCCAGCAACTGAAACAGACCCAGAGCAGAAGGAAGTGAGCGCGCAGAGAGGAGCCGACACACGCACCACAGCTGCGACGGCCACACAGCGCAGCTGTGAACAGCCGGCGCCCGCCGTGCCCGTCCCAGCACAGGATCTGACCCGTACAGCACCGCTCTGCGGGCAAGAGACCCGGTGGACCAGGGCAGAGAAGAGAGTCAACAACAACTGCTAAACAATGAGAGGATGAGGGTGGGACGAAGGCTCAGCTCCCCACGGCCAACCCCGTCGTGCAGAGCGGAGCAGGCGGATGGGAACACGCTGTTCCCACGGGGACGGTGGCATTTTACGGCCGGTGCTTTCCCAGTAATAAGAAGGGAGGTGCAGAACGGGCCGTGCACATGGCCACCGCCGCAGCGGGGAGACGGTGGCCGTGCAACCCATCCCGGCTTCTCCGCTACGGCGAGGGGCCGAGCAGGGCTGCCAACCCCGCGGCTCAGCTGCCAGGAGGCTTTTAACACCAACTTAAAATTCATCGCTAGTAACAAACCCTCTGGCTGCTCCTGATTACGTTCCTCAAAGAGGAAGGAAACGTCCGAGTCAGCAGCAACAAACGCTTAAAAACCGCGACGGCGTTTGCACGATGTGCAGCAGCTGAGGGGGGCACAAAGGGGGTCACCAGGCAGGGGGGCCGTGGGGGTCACGGTGACGAGGGGCGACCCTGGCCACTGCCTTCCCTGCCTGCCTCCTGGGAAACGGGACTTGATGCGGGAGACGTGCTCCAAAGCTCTATTTTGGGTCGTTCTTGCTTGTTTTGGGGTCTGCAAGGCTTCCAGCTCAGGTGTGGGGAGGGCTGGGGGGTATGGATCCCCCCCCCCCAACAGCGCCCAGGGGTAGGTGGATGGGAGCGGGGTCCCACGGATGCACCCCACTGCGCGCAAAGCCCCCGCGTGCCAACCCCACGCTGGGGCCACCGCCACGTCCCCCGAGTGGGACCCCGCAGCCCACCCGGGACATGGTGGGACTGCAGCTGCTCGGCGCGGGGGGGGGAAGCACCTCTCACCCTTTTGGGGACGGCGGCGTCCACCGCGACGGCGTCCCGGGTGCTCTCCTCGATGACCAGGTACATGTAGTTGTCCTCCAGGACAGAAATCACCTTCACCTTCATGGTCCCCCACGAGCACCAGCCACGGGACACGGGTTGGGGGGGGGGGCGGCCCCACGCAGCAAAACGCGGGGGGACGTCCCAGCCCCACGCAGCAAAACAGGGGGACAGCCCGGTCCCTAGGCAGCCGCGGGGCGAGGACACGGGGG